AAATAAAAAGAAAATCAATGAAACTAACATTTTTATTCACTGAGGGTGAAAATTTGGTGCAGCAGTTAAGTGTCTAGTTCAAGTCCTGGGTATCCTGCTTATCATATAGATTCTGGATAATAGTACTTTGGGAGGCAAATGATGGCTTAAATACTTGGTTCCCTGCCACCCATGTAGGAATCCTGGATTGAGTTTTTCCATCTGGTTTTGGTCTAGTCCAACTCTCACTGTTGCAGGCATTTGGGGTACAAACTAGCAGATGTAAGATTCTCTCTGTCTCTCCTACTCTCTCTCTCTCATCTCTCTGTCTTTCCATTACAAATAAAATGAAACCAAATAAACAAAAAAGGTTTTGAAATACTATTAATTAAGAAAATTCATAAAATTGATTGATAGCTAGTTGACCTGGTTACGAAAAAACAAAGGAAGAAGACACAAATGACCAAAGTGAGTCATGAGAGAGGTGACATAATTACAGATATTTAAAGGTTAATAATGGCATCCTTTAAACAACAATATGGTAGTAAATTTTACAATTGTGTGAAATTCTAAATTCCTCAAAGACACAAATGACCAATTATCACTTAATTAGTAGATAATCTGAATATCGCTATAGTTTTTAAAAAATCTGAATTTGTCATTAAAAATCTTTCATCAAAGCAACTCTAGGAAAAAATGATTCATTGGTGACTTCTACCAAACATTAAAGGGGAAAAAGTAATCAAATCTACACAAATATTTTCTAAAATTAAAGAGTAAGAGATCCTCAGCTTATTCCATGAGGACTGCATTACCGTGATATAATATCAGAGATATAGAATACAATAAATGAAAACTTTAGTGGAGGGGTAAGCTTATGATTAGGAAGTAAATTGAAAATATGCCTTTGCAAAATTTAAAGGAAAATTAAAAATGCAGGAGGAGAGAAGATGGGAGCGGGGAAAGACACAAGGTGAACAGAGATGAAAAAATTCTTATCTGAACTTTTTCAAGTTGAATATGTCATGATCAAGTATAATTAACTCCAGAATTCAGGATATGAAGTATTTAACATTCAAAATTAAATCTTTGTAATTCTCCAAATTAACAAAACTAAAAAATGAAAGCAACATGGGCATTTCAAAAGATGAAGAAGATGAACTTGGCGAACTCCAGCATTCACTACCTTTCAAAGCTTTTAGTAAGATTGGAATAGATATATTTTACTCATCTTGAAAAAGGACAACCATGTACAAACAGTGATGTTAACATCAGACTAAACAATCTACTTAAAGCCAGAAGACTCGGACAGTTTTTGGTTCCTTGTTTAAGCTGCTGCTTGGGATGACTGCGTTCCATATGGAGTACAAAACATTTTCACAAATACTTCATGAGAGAAGAAATGCAAACTTCAAGTCAACACATGAATCGCATGTATTAGTGAAATGAAATTTATTTTTAAAAAAGGTTTATTTTAGGGGCAAGAGCTGTGGTGCAGCGAATTAACGCCCTGGCCTGCAGTGCTGGCATCCCATATGGAAGCTGGTTCGAGACCTGGCTGCTCCACTTCCTGTCCAGCTCTCTGCTATGGCCTGGGAAAGCAGTAGAGGATGGCCCAAGTCCTTGGGCCCCTGCACCCAAGTGGGAGACCCAGAAGAAGCTCCTGGCTCCTGGCTCCGGATCGGCGCAGCTCCAGCCATTGTGGCCTATTGGGAAGTGAACCATCGGATGGAAGACCTCTTTCTCTCTCTCTCTGCCTCTCCTCTCTCTGTGTAACTCTGATTTTCAAGTAAAATAAATAAATCTTAAAAAAAAAAAAGATTTATTTTATTTCTTTGAAGGGCAGAGTTCTGAGAGGTAGACACACACACACGCAGAGATGTCATGTGAAATGCAATTTAAAATCACAATGCAATACCATTACTTTACCTTCATTATTAAATAAAAAATCCGAGCATGTTAAGTATTGGGAAGAAAAGCTGGATCTCTCATACTGGTGGGAATGCAAAGTAGTAGAATTATTTTGGAGTATAGTTTGAAAATTTTCTAAAATGTTAATTATATACCACTCATTGACCCAGCCATTCCATACCTACATATTAATCCAAAAGAAGGGAACATCAGACAAAGAAGCAGCTATGTACACTGTGTGATTCAAGTTGTTTGTAAGTTTAAAAAATTCAATTACCTGTAGTGATGGAAAGCATATCATGGTTTCCTAGGGGAATAAGGCATGGAGATGCAAGAAACTAGGAATTAAGAGGGGCAAGTGGAAACTGCTGGGGTAATGGATATATCATATTCTTGAGTGTACTGATGGTTTTCACAGGTCTATGTTGTGCCAAAACTTATCCAAATCTACACTTATGTATTAGCAGTTCATTGTAATAAAATTATACTTCAACAAATCTATGTGAAACAAGGTTTCATTAGTTTTGTGGCTAAATAATATTCCATTGTCTATATGTATCACATTATTATTCATTATTTACTTATTTATCTGATGTTACTTATTTTATTTATTCATCTGATTATTTATTCATTATTCATCTGATGTTAGATGGTTCATTTGATTTCTTATGTTTACTATTGTGAATAGTGTTGCAATGAGTATAGAGAAACAAGTTCATAGTGCTACAAAGTACAGTGGAATGACTAGTTCATAATAACTTGTTATATATTTTATGAACACATAGAAGAAAGTAAAGTAATATCAAAGGAGAGGAAATATTGTCCACCTTGATTTGATCATTATATGTTGTATACATGTAATGAAATGTCACACGTTAGCCCATAAACATGCACAAGCATTTCTAATTCAAAAATCATGAGAGGGGTATTCTGAAAATTTTTTTATCAGAGTCTTAGACTCCAAAATCTTCACTTTTAAAAAAAGTCCTCATGGTTGATCATGCTGCAGAATGTTGCATTTCTAAACTTGAGAAATAATACTTTATATAGATTTATAGCAAAGTTACTGTCAAAAGTTCAGTGTATCCAAACCAGAATTTATATGCCACTCATGCAGAGGAAGAGAACTAAAATTAAGTACAAAAATGAGAACAATTGCAACAAATTTGCCTGCTATGCTCACATTTTTACTACTTGAGTAATAACCATGTGGTAAGTTGATTAGTGGCATGATTTAAGTGTACAAGGCAAAAGAAGAAAGAAAAGTTATGCAAACTCAAGCCCCCTCCCACTTCTTTCATATGATAGTAGAGAGAATAAATTTTAGAATTTTTAAAGTATGATTATCATGCATAGAATCACATTTTCTGCCTCTTCAACTTACAAAAAGTGCCTCAATAGAATTGATATTTATTTATTTATTTTAGGGTTATAATTTATTGTTAATTTTATGCAAATTTATAAACCGTCATTTTTGTTATTAATTTTTTAGATATTTTATCAATAGATCTTCTTTAAATTTGGCTTTTAGGGGCCAACCTTGTGAGCTGGTAGGGTAAGCCACTTCTTGCAGTGCTGGAATCTCATATGATTCGAACCCCAGATGTTCCATTTCTGACACAGCTTCTTGCTAGTGTGCCTAAGAAAACAGTGGGAGATGGCCCAAGCGCTTTAGGACCCTACATCCATGTGGGAGACCCAGATGTTGCTCCTGGCTCCTGGCACAGCCTAGCCCAGCCCTGGCAATTTAGGTCTTTAGGGAGTGAAAGGGTGAATGGAAGATTCTCTCTCTGTCTCTGTTTCTATCTTCCTCTCTGTCATTTTGCTTTTAAATAAATAAATAAAACTTAAAGATTACTTTAAAACATACTTGTGCATCACTCACAATATTACTATATCTTACCAGAAAGATATGCTAGACTTACGTACTGACTTCTTTTTTATTATGTGGTAGAAAAGCAGAGTCTAAGTTATCAGTCTTTCAAAAAAGACCTCAAAATAAATTTTACTGCCCCAGATTATCATGTTCAAACCCAGCTTTGGGACATTTGACTCATTAAATGCACATTGAAGGGTGCTAAATGAATGGTTTTATCTACTGTTCATTTGACATAATTAATCAGTAATATTCTGGGGCACTATCATAGTGCCACTGTCATAGTGCCACAGTATCTACTTGAGAAAGCCCCTGTGTTGGTGTTTTGTGTGTTGTACCAGAACTACCCTCTGGAGCTGCCTCTCTTGAACTGTCTTGCAGGATGACAACCACATCCTTCCAGCTAAGATCCTCTCCATGAGTAATGAACTAACTACTTGATAGGATACTTTCTTTTCTGGTAGTGCCTCTAAATGGTAGACACAAATCTTATCAGTCTCCTAGTCTAGGAAACATTATGGAAAATCAAAGCTATCAAACACTTCAGTAAATAGCACTCTCAGAATTTCATATCAAGCTTCCCTGTTCCAATCAATCACTCCTCAATCTCTCAGCCATCCAGAAAGTTTCAGTTCTTCGGTGGTCTTTATTTTAGTGAGTCTAATTTTCTCTGATTCAAGCTGCACATGTGTGAGCAAGTCTGGTGTCTTCAGTTTGGCCTTCCTTGGTTTTACACTCTTCTAATGAGTGTCCTCCAAGATACAGTTCTGTCATACTATCATCAGCCAGTTTCTGATCAGTATAGATTCCGTCTGCTAAAAGCTCTTATTTCAGTTTCTGCAAGCTAAGGATGAGAGTTGTTGAGAACGCAACAGATCAAGCCAATGTCAATCATTGCCAGCAAAGAAATATTTTGTTTTCCTATTTTGCTATGCAAAGGATTCTTATGTTACTTCGAGTCTTGGTAATAGGGCACCTCTCTAGCTCCTCTTATATAAGGCCTAGCCTAAGAATAATTTACATATGCATTCCTGCCTGTGTAGTCCTGTTTATTTTTTTATTATATTCCATGTACGGTTGTGGATAATGGGCTATGTTTTCACTTGTTTCCTGAGGTCAGTAACTTTGTCATATTTATCTTTTGAATATTTACAGCTTTGTACAATCCCAGGTTTGTATAGGCACTCTGTTGTATTCTTTATATAATATAATATAAAAATTCAAGAACAACTCATTTCATTTAATTTCCTTTAATGAATACTCATTACAATAAAAGAGGTATAAAGTCTGTTCCCAAGTCCAAACCACTCTTTTTTAAACCTTGAGTTTTCTGAATTACCCAATCTGAAGTAATTCTCTTTATACCTAAAAACAGTTTTATTGAAATGTTTGAGATAAAAAATATGTATTGCAAGAAGTATATGACAAACATTTTAAGAGTATAAAATTAACTGCAAAAATAACATAATTTACCAGTAAACCCACGTTGTATTAGAAATGTGCAAAGCCTTTTGACCTAAAAGATTTTTTGTTTTATTCTGAGCACCCATTTTTTTAAATCTAGTTTCCCATGGAGAGGTAACTGCTTGCAGGCATTTTATTTATCCATTACAAACATTCAAGACTCAGTGTTCTCAATAAGATTAGCTCCACGCTTTGAAATGTAATGAATGTAGTAACAGGGATTTTCCTTGATGGATTCAAGAGTTAGTGTCAACCTTTAATGCCAAGTTGAAAGGCCACAATTTGCTTTGTTTCTCTCAGTTCCTAACTCACAGCAGCCTAATCTCACACTTTCCCTTATGTTTCTCATTCAGAAAATAATATTAAAATTGTTCAAAATTGTTGGATGATTTTTCCTTTGTGCTGATTTTTCAGTTCCTGAAGTCAACATGGCTCTGATAATTTTCTTTCAAGGTCAGGTTATTGACTTAGGTGGTATAAACTTGGTGTCTGGGCTTCCGATTCTCACTGAGAGCGACCTTCTCTTGATCGTCTTCTGGATCCTGATTAGAAAGAAGGAAGAATGCACAGATTGTAAAGGGGATGAAACCTCAGACTTTAAGCATATGTTTTCTGTGTATTTATCAAAGGCCAATACTTCTGATCGTAATAACCTTTACATTGTGTATCTTAAATAATATCCTCAGTTTATGGCCAAGAAACTAGATAATTTTTTATCAAAAGTATGTGAAGATAACAATTTAAAATGTCATGATTATAAAAGAATACTTGGATGTATTTGGATGTTTAGAAGAAATTCTCTGATGCATCCTTCAGTTACAAATTATGTGTGCAGTTGAACCTTTAATTTCAAACCTTTATACATTGGAAAGCCTTACAATCAGACATGGCGATAGTGAATTCATAAGCCTTGCAAATTATTTTGACTATCAGAAATTCTGAACTTGTAATTTTTGGCTGTGATTTACTCTAGATTCCACAAGAGGAATTTTTGTTCTTTTACTGTATAGAATGTAAAGTAAACAAATGCACAAATTAGAAAATGAATAAACATATACAGAAAATTTAAGTTTATATATGAGATATATATAGTCAACATATTAATATAGAATTTTATAGTTATATTAAAAAGCCTTCTCCATGTGTGCAGTAATAATTTACTTATGTCTCAAACTGTAGCCTCAATACATATAATAATATTTCCAAGGATTAATGTCCCTCTGCAACATATAAGTGCACACATGGCTCAGCTATTTAAGATTTTTTTTTTATTTAACTGAACTTGAATCTGCCTTATTGGTTCAATATGTCGAGCAATTTACATGAATATACTTGCCTGCCCTTTAATGATTGTTTTTCCTAGATTCTGTAATAGTGTATAACATAAAAAATTTATCTTCTGATTCTTCTTTTCAAAATACTTTTCATCAAAACTACCTAATTTTTCTCCCTAGCAGATGGCAAAATTCAATAAAATGCGCTAAAATGTTCTCCTTTTCATTGATTTCATTTATCATAATAAAATATGCCATATACTCACATTACTTTATTCAACACACTTACCCTGAACCCTTTTGTTGGCTTGTATTTTCCTCACCGGTGTGTCTACAATTAAATAGTTGCAGTTAGAAATACTTTGAAATTACAGCTAACATAGTATAGGAGACCACAGGTAAGAAGAAACTAAAAAGTTTTAAATAAGCATTACCTGAATATGCAGATATTTTTGGAGTAGTAAATTTTATGATTCTTAGAGTTTTGCAATGACAAAGGGGAAACAAAGGCATTGTTTTCCATATATCACACTGAATTTTCACTAATGTTATTTCATTATGGCTTTTGTAGCCCATAACTTACCTGATTTTTTTTCTCAGGTTTTGGGTAATAAGCATGGCTTTATCATGTTTTTTTTTAATATTTTATAAACTTTAGTGCGTGTATCTTCCTAAAGACAGCACATATCTTTGCAGTCATCCTTATTGGAATGTAGGCCTCTGTAAAGTTGTCATTGTAAATCAATCTGTGATGGTTTAATTGTATATGAGTATGACAAAAGGACATTGGCCTGGTGATTCTTGAATGTAATAAGCAATCCAGGAAAAAAGTAATATTTACTCATTGCCCTATTAAAGCTCAATCCTAGGAGACCTTTCTAAAAAATTAATTTGCTAGCTAGCTTTCATATTTAAGAACTGTAAGTGTTTAACAACGGTGCTGTTTTGTGTTACTATGGTTGCAAAATATTTATCAATTCTTTGGTTTTCTTTTAATTCATCTACAAGACTACATGATGGGTCTCAATTTACATTTTCATGTAATTTTTGGGCATTTGGGATCAAAAAGTAAATGTCGATCTTAGTATGACTTCATTTTTAAGCTTGCCTTTTCTTATTTTTCTCCGAATTTTTACTTTTTAAAAATATATCATCTATATGCAAAAATAAAGTCAAAATGTACACACAATAAACACAATGAAATCTCATAAAGAATAAACCATGAAACAATCACCAAGAGTAATTGTGACTATATGACCCTAAGCAAATTAAAAAGGGAGTACTTTATATATAATACGTATTTTTTATATATATATATACAGTATTCTCTTATATATATGTTATATATAAGTAATTTATATATCTAAAAACATGGATGCAAGCTGAGGGGAGCATGATGGATAAAGGGAGGGGCAAAGTTGAATACTGTGTACTAACTATAGTTGTATGGTTAGTTATATAAAAGGAAAAAAGGTTGGTGTTCTATTATTGCACATTAGGATGATAGAAAGCAATATTGTATCTTTAAAAAGATGCAAGGTAGTAGTTTGACTTTCTCACTATTTTACATCATAAAGAGCTAATAAACGTTTGAGAAGCAGATAAGCACTCTATATTTATACTGATTTGAACATTATGCAAGGTATACATCTATTGAAATGATTCAATATTTATGGGTACCTTATAAATATGTACATTTTTATGTGTGCATTAAACTTTTAAAAATATAAACAGATAAATGTACAAATTCTGCTTGTATCTACTTAGGACATCTCCAGCATCTCCTTTTCTCTTGTAGAATGTAGGAATATAATCATTCACCATATAATGATATTAATTCTATAGTGAAAAATAGAACTATGGAAACACTTACTAGCTTGGAAAGTGGGAGAAAGTCTGTGCCAAAAAGGAAAGTGTGACTTATGGGAAATTCCCAAGTTGATATGTTTTCCTTAGTTTCAAGTTTACCTGGTAACAAAATAATGTGCTTCTAAAATATTAAGAAGAGTTAGATCCAATCTTTAATTAAGGAATAAGAGCACTGTCTATAAAATGTTTATAATGGACTTACTAAATTCAAAATAGTTTATTAAATGAATGAAAACATAGAAATATGTACAAAATTAGTCTACAATCATGTCAAGTGAACTCAGTTTTCCTTTTATAAACCATAACATTTCATTAATGAGTTTTTTGCTAAATTTTTCCTGTCTTTCTAGGATAATATCAAATTAGAAATACTTATTGTGCGGGGAGGTCAGTGTTGTGGCAAAGCAGATAAATCTGCTGCCTGGGGTGCTGACATCTCATTTGGGCATCGGTTCCCATCCTGGAGTGCTTGGGCCCCTACCATCTAAGTGGGAGACCTAGAAGAAGCTTCTGGTTCCTGGCTTTGGCCTGGCACAGCCTGGCACTTGCAGCCAAATGGGGAGTGACAAGTGGATGGAAGATCTCTCTCTGTCTCTCCCTCTCTCTCTGTAACTTCCTTTCAAATAAATAAATAAATCTTTAAAAAGAAAAGAAATATATTAATTTGGCAAACAAATACCTCAAAAGGAAAGCTTGATTGTTATTTCAAATTAATTAGTGTGTCTTAGCTTATGTGTAAGGAAGCAATGTTTGGAAAAATAATCCAATCATCTGAAAGATTTGGCACAAATGCAATTTCTCCATCATGCTTCCTAAAGCGTGTGAAGCAGGTCAGCATGGTTATTTGTAAGTTACTGCTTTTTGTGTTGCTTTGTGCTTTTTTTTTTAAGATTTTATTTATTTATTTGAAATGTACAGTTACAAACAGTGAGAGGCAGAGACAGAGAGAAAGGTCTTTTATTCGCTGGCCCACTCCCTAAATGACTGCAAAGGCCAGAGCTAGACCCATCTGAAGCCAGGAGCCAGGGGTTGCTGGGTCTCCTACACATGTGCAGGAACCCAAGTGCTTGGAGGAGCTTCTACTGCTTTCCGAAACCATAGCAGAGAGCTGCATCGGAAAAGGAGCAGCCAGGACTAGAACTGGCACCCACATGGGATGCCAGTGCCACAAGCTGAGGATTAACTTACTGTGCCACAGTGCTTGTTTTGCTTTATTTTTAAAATTCTTTAATGGCTATGACTTTGGACACAAAATAGAGTGGAGGATATTCCTTCACTGACCATGGTAATGTTGAGTGATGATAACACAAAGTAAAATTCTCTGATAACTTGCTATGTGTTGAACATTAGTCCAAAACCAGTTAATTCATTTATAAGCAGAGGAAGGAAACAGGCAGAGAAGAGTCCACTTAGACTTGAACTGAAGCTCAGATTGAAGCCAGAACTACGGTGTGATCTACTCGTCTTTACAGAGTCTGTAAATCTTAACTCCTATAGGCAGATTTTGCAAAATCTTCCAAAATGACTTTGTCTCTTTCTGCATAGCCTGAGATCCTTCTTTAACTATTAAAGTAGTTTCAATATGCACACCACTATCTAATTTACTAGTGAAACATTTTGTGCACTTTTTAGGCACAGTTTTCACTTAGAGGTTTTAAACTATTTCAGTGACAAATCACAAAATGAATACTGAATGGACCACTTAGCCGTGTTAACAGTCATGTCTTAACTGATTGGGGAAGATGTTCAGTTTAACAAAATGTATGCATGTACTTCAATGTTCATGATATAGACAGGTCATATAGGAAACTCCAACTTGGGATGAAGACCATAGTTTGGATACAGATGTTGTATAATGTAAGCTTTATTCACACCAACTTCTGTGTGAATTGATGTCTCGTAGAATCTAGTGGAGAATATACTTGTGACTCAGTGTTGATCCAATGGTTATAAATGGCTAGCTGAAGTAATAGCATGTCCAGTTACTGTCCATTTACTTGTAAATAAACTGTACTTCCCTATGAGAAGGAAAATCTTAGAATTTTTTTGATAAAGATATGCAAGCATTGTGGACATTGATGTCTAGTAGACATTTACAGAAATCAGATTCTAAGAACTAAAAGAATCAAACTCAGGGATGAACAGAAATGAGAGATAAGAAAGGAGCCTACTAACTAAAAGTAGAACATCATTTTCTTGACTTGTAGCAAGTGTCTCATTTTCTTGGCTGAAACAATTCCTTGGTACTTATTTGCTTTATTTATAATGGATTTATTAACAGGGACTTTTTAAAAAAGATGAAAACATACTTACCTGAAGCTTAAGCCTAAGTGAATTAAAGCAATATAAAACAAATGCAACTACTAATTGATTATTTTCTAAAAAGCACTGCCATTTACAAAGCTGCTTACTATGCAAGGACTAAAAAAAAGAATTCAACTTAATCTTCATAATGTGTTTGCCTCTTCCCTTGGATTCCTTAATGATTTCCTGGCAGAGAGTAAGCGTTTGGGAATAGATGAGTGAATTCTCTAAGAAGTCTCAGATGTATCTTTGGTTCCCTTATGACTTTGAGTATGTCATATAATTCCTGTGTATTCTGAAAAAATATATTGTATTTTTTAGACATGTATCTCCATTGAGGGGTAATCTGATCACTGGGTGAATAAAATAAAAATTTCAGTATATCTGCCAAGTCTGTAAATATAATATAGGGATACTATCTATATTAAAATAAGGAAACAATAATTGTTGAAAATATATATAGTCTCAAGAGAATCTATATCTTCTTGGACATGGTGATACAACTTCTAAGATTATAAGCGGAAAAACCATTTGGATTATATTTGGGGTAATACTAAGGTATAGTTGTCTTTCACAATAAGTATATTTCAAAGAACATACTTGTTTTTATAAAAAATTTAAATATTTCTCTAAAACAATTTGTCAGTTTAACAATTTTGTTAATGAATTGAACTAGAAATCTACTTATGCAAATGTCAAAAATCCTAACCTACTTTATTAACATTAACTATTTATATGAGTAATTATAATTTGGAGTTTGTGTAAGAGTTTGAATTCTTTTTTTTTCTCCTTTCCTTTTAAAAGTAGGTCCATTTAATGCCATAAACAGAGAACAGTTCATACCTTAAGGTTTGTGATTAATTCAAATGGAAAATGATTAACAAATCCAAGTCTAGTTTATCACTTTAAATTGTTAGAAGAAATATATACCCACTCCCAAGAATAAAAGTTTGGAGAAGATAGTTACTAAATGCACTTTTTTTTTTTTTTTTTTTTTTGCTGTATCTATGCACTTACAAAATCCAGAAACATGCCTTTATTGCTGTAATGGGGGCAGTGAATAAGTTTTTAAGAACTATAAAAATATGTCAAATTTGGACTTTACAAGTTAGCAATTTCAATTTTATTCCCTTTTTATATAATTAAAATACCCTTGTAATTATCTGTATCAAACAAGAAAAAAATATTCATTGCTCCCCACGTTTTAGATAATAGAACTTTTTAAAGACTTTTAAAGCTAGAAATCATTTCTTCATAACTATCACTTAAACTACCATAACCAATCGATTTCTTAAGACAATACCTGCTATTGTCTTATTTTTAACCTAATTAAAAGAAAAACCTGCCTGCTCAGTCTTTAAAAAGTTGAAGAACTCTGTTATGAGAACCTGTTAAGGGGTTAGTTGTTGCCCTTTTACTGACCTCCCTGAAGCAGTCTTTTAATGTCTTCATCTTCAAATAAATGACCATCACCACCTTCAATGAATTTGGTGACCTTGGTGACCTCTGAGAGGATACATGTTTATAGCAGAAATTGGTTTATATAATAAAAAGATAGGAGACTTGATATGCTAAATAATGGCTTCTGCCCCGTGGTGAATTCCAGACCAACATTCAGTGCTTTCTTTGCGTTCAGTATTTTTCTTTTTCTTTTGATATCATTATTTTCTTACAAAACATTTAGTAATATATAACAAAGCAATTAACATAACTGCCATTGTTGCTTATTTCCATATGTTTTGACATATTCTGATGTTGGTTTGGAACTTGAACAAAGGGATGACAGGGTAGAACACAGGTACAAGGCCTTGAAGGTTGATTTAGATTTTGATACAGACAGTTTAGGTAAAGTCACATTGTTATTTTGCTAGGCATGCTGACCTTCCTGCAACAGCTTCTTGAGGGTTTCCTCTGTTTCTCCACCACCAGTAGAAATCCTAGTGTATTTTATTTCAGGCCCTGAAGGAAAGACAATTTTAAAAGGTCTAAAACAGGAGTGGCGAATTTCTTCTGTAAAAGGCCGGAGGGTAAGTTTTTTGGACTTTGTAGGGCATATGGACTGTGCTGTCACTGTTCGACACTGTTGTAGTGAGTGCAGACATAGGCATTACATAAATGAATGTGTTCCAATAAACCTTTCTTTACAGATATAGGTAGTACAGACTGTACTTGCTATTTATTTACACAAATACTTACAGAATAGTTGAATTTAGAATGCTAGGATAATTCACATGTGGGAGAGAGATAAAGAGAGCTTACCAAAATTATTCATCAATTGTTTTATACAAACTTCCATCTATTTTGTTTTATAGATGTAGAGACTACTGTTCTTGTAAACTCAAAGGAGGAAATGACTTCTCTAGAATCCAATAGCTCATTAATAAAGAGAATATTAATCATATATGTTATGTGAGATCTATGCCTACATTCAATACAAACATATGCTTATAGTTTGTCTACAAATTTCCAGCTCAGAGTAAAACATAGCCTATATATTTAGAGTAATGTTATTTCTGTCACAAAAGGAAATTGTGTAAGTTGAGTAACCGCCATGCATCATTAGTCTTTCACGATTCTAATAAAGATAAAATATGATAAACTACTGTTTAATCTGCATCATCTGGGTATAGTTCCATGAGTGAATTAAATACCTGTAATAATTCGTTCTTCCCGTGTCTCTTTTTCGGTTATTTCCACAGGCACTCCATCAATGATTTTGGTGTACTTCTTAATAATTGGCTCTGAAAGCAGGGTAAGAAAAATGCATTTCATTCATTTGTTTTATTTTTTCTTATTTTTAAATATTAATATATTTATATAAAGGGGACATATTTTATGTATTTCATATGAACAGTTTTCAGAATATGGTACTTCCCACCCTCCCACCTCCTTCTTTTCTTACTTTCTTTTAGTTGTTGTAACAATGTACTTTCAATTTACTTTGTAATTATAAGCTTAATCATTTACTAAATAAAAAATTCAACAGACATTAAAGAAAAAGACCACCGTTCCTCAGGAGTCTAGACAAGGGTTATAAATAATAATCAGATTGCAACATGTCAATTTCACTCATATGCTTAATATTTGTGTACACCATATATTACTTACCACAAATCAGAGAAAACATGATATTTGTCTTTGTGGGACTGGCTTATATGGTGTCCATACTTATATGAGCTAGACATTTTAATGATTAAGTATATTTTTGTAATCCATAAGCTGTACTTTGGAAATTTATATTCATTAAATAAAAGTTAAAAAAAGAATTTAAAAAAAGTATATTTCTCAAAATTTGCCAGTTGGTATCACTGTTGGTACACATCTCAAACAAATTCAAATCAATGGGATTCTAAAAGGTGATCAGTTTTGTTCTGAATATTGGGTAAGGAAGAGGTCCAGTTGGTGAACTAATTCTCTGTTACTGGAATGGAAACCCTCTAACAATTCTACAAGTTTCTTAGTAGAGTCTTAGATAAACTGCTTTTCTCCTGTTTTTGGATTTAATATGACCTTCTGCATTGACATTGCTCTTATGGTATTTCTCAATCATCATGTGCATATACAGAAATAATGATAGTTTCCTTAGATCTGAAGAGTTAAAAGATTAAATTAATTCCGGCTAGATCCACTAAAAGATAAACTAGATTTCATTTCTGACTGGCTAATAAGAACCCAGGGCTGAGAAAATGAATCCCACAATTTATCCAAAATAAAATCCAAGAGAAAATATATCAGATATTGAGTATTTATAAAACAACTCTATTTCAAAGAAGTCACTGCTGTTAATTAGACACCAAGAAATTCACAAAACGCACCTCCATGGATCACTTCAGTTACAGTTTCACCTTCTGTAATCACTTTGAATTCAGGATCCTCTTCAATGTTGACCTTGGTTATTTTGGGTCCTGAGACATTATTTTAGGAGACAAATTATTGTGTTAAACCCGCCCTTTAGATTTACCAGAAGAGGAAATTTGCTTTAACATTTAGTGTTACTTAAATATCAAAGTGGCTTTTCAGGCTTTATGAAATTAGTTTTAAAGGTTTTACATTGTCTTCACATTAAGCAATACTGATGAAAGGAAATAATTTAGCCTACTGGTGTATCACTAAAATAGCTTTCAACTTCATTAAGATTTTGTGATGTGGTAACTCATTTACTCAGTAGTCGTTAACAAGTATGATCACACCAAATATTATATATGGATATACCTTGTGAATCATAGAGTGTGTACAAATATTAGCTGTTCTAATGATAATTAGTCTATATAATAATTTACCGTACTGATATCTATCTGTTACTCTTCCTCATTAAAATGTTTCAATTCTGCTTTTAATCACTGAGTACCTTATATTTTTATCTAATAAATAAACATAGGGCTAAAAGTAAAAAAAAAAAAAATCCCAAGTTTGTACCCACCTTTAAGATGTTGAGTTTTGGGACACATGGGAAAATGGATTGTACTACTTACCTTGCACACAAGAATGATGCAAAAATTAACTAATTAATAATTAGTCCCTCAAATGCAAAAGTTAAATAAGTATTGCATTTGACTTGCAAAATGGCTTTTCTCATGGAGAAAAGCATTTTGAATGTTAGAAAGCTGATTATTACATTAGTTAATAACGACTACTTCATAGAGAACAAGAAAAACAAAGTTCAGTACATTTAACTCATACTGTATTACCCTTCAATAGTGGAACTACATTTGCTTATCTTTGAGAGAATTATTTGCTTGTCCAGAAATTTTTCAATGTACACCATTACCCAGAATTAAATAGAATAAAGAAAATAATAAAAATAAAAGTATAGTTCTTTCAAATCATGAATATTTCACACAATAATACTTAATCTGTGAAGTCAGGGAATATTGAGTACAAAACATGAGATTAAGCTTTTAATGTAAGATGACTTCAAAAAGAAAGTTTGCTTAAGGAATTTAAGATCAATAAATGAATTAATAAACCAAATCGATATTTCACTAGAAAAGCCAAACTGAGCTTTGAACAACATCCTCTATTGTTAAGGGCTGTGAAGGCAGAAATTTTTTTTAATATTTATTTCCAATATCTAGGACATAAGAACATACAACACAAGAGGTGCTCAGTAACTAGCCATTCATTTTCAGTTGATTTATTCTCAATTCTAAAATTTATTTCTGGATCTTTTAAAGAAACATCTTAAATTGTATCTTTGAGTAAATTTATTAATATTCAAAAGTCATAATTGCTTACAAGTTCAAACAATAAGAAGGCAATGCTAGGAGCCATCTTAGAGGCTGAACAATTGTAAATTACTGCCAATGTAAATGTTTTCTTCCCTTGTTATGTTACACAGAAGTAGCAATTCTGAATGTTTGAACTGAAGATTATTGATGACCTGATCCAGGTTTTTATTTGTGTCTCCTTTATAAGAAAAAGTCAGAAATGTTTATCCACTGTGATCCTAAGTGAAGAAATATTAATAGGATAGTGCCCTGCTGAGAAAGATTGAGAATATGAAGAGGATTGAAAGAGAAAGAAGTCTGAAAACAAGAACAAAACCACATGTGAAAGATTCCAGATATAGAAGCTCAGATATAGATGTTATGATACAAAATTTTAGGGAATCATATCTTTAAAAACTATGAGTATTTTAAAACCCATTGCATTGGCAGGGATCATTTGGTCATTTTCATTGAAATGATCAATAAACATTTGTATAAAAAATCAGGAATTTCATTTTTTCTGAAAATACAAATGATCTTCATCAACATAAAAACAAACAAATGATCAAAAGTTTAGTTTTCCTAGAAAAACTAAGCACCAATTCACATGGTCAATCAATTTTAGTTCTCAAGAATGAATTAGATAGGAAATCAGCTCTTACTTGAATCATTTCAATGTCTAAGTTTTAAGTTATGACTCACTTCAAGAGGAACAGACCAAAATATTCAGTGAGTTCTAACTAATCCACAGAATAAAAAATACCAAATCAAAGATAACAGTGATAGTTTTCCTGAGAGCCAAACAATAATAATATTGTTATTATTATTGATGATAATATTATAATAATATATTTATTTTAGGAAGATTGTTTCTGTCTTTCTTCTAGAATAAAGAAGATAACCAGATTTTTTCTCCATATCAAGTCATCACATTAGATGCTTAAGTACAGAAATATAAATTTCTTAAAGTCTGATTCTTGGAGATATTTAAAATACATGAAACTAGGGTAATATCAAAGATGTTGAACTTGAACAAAGATGTTGAACTGACATAAAAACTAAGAGTAGAAAGAAAGGTGATTGCTTATTTAATAACTAATCTCTAATACCTGTAGATAAGAATACATATTTCATATATACCTCATATATGAAATATATATATATAATATGTATTTATAAATGATGTAGTCAGGCTGGAAATTAAGTATTCTAATAAGTGATTTATTTCCTTTCTATTTCTGATGTTCTAGTTATAAAATATATCACGTCTGGTTGCAATTTTAAAAGCTTTCAGCAAGTCACAGTTTCTATGTTCTCTTACGTTGCTAAATGAAAAATGCCTGCACTTATTTGGATGAACTTTTGTAATGCTCCAAAACACACCATATAGGGAGAATGGAGACAAAGCTGAAAAAAAAATAGAGTCTTCTCTCTGAGGAAGACAGTTTAAAAAACAAGAAAGAAAGAAAAGTTCAGTGATTTTTGTTTATTTGTTTAGTCAATATCTGGGTACTAGTGCTAGCACATCAATCATATTAAAATTAAATCAAGTACAAGCAAATGTACTGAAGGTTATTAGGAATGCACCATCTACTTTGCTACATAATTTGCACTCCACATTCTGCAATTACATGAGCATGCTATTGGTATAGAAATATTTAGCATGTTAGTTTTAAAAAGAATGTAGATACATTCATAGAAATCAGTATATTATATGGATTTTTCACAATAAAAGGAACCTTGTAGAACATTAATTTTTACCTTCAGTTTTGATAATAGGCTGAAGACTGCCTTGAATCACTTTAATTTTTGGTTCCACAACTTTGGTTATAATTTTAGTTGCTGAAAGTATAGAAAGTGGAACATGAATGATATTTACATAAAAATAACCTGAATGAAATTGTCCTTATTTGTCTTTGTAAGATACCAAGTATGGTAATACGTTCAGGCAGTCAGAAACAGAAAAACTTTATGATGCACAATTATTATCTTCTTATGTTGGATGTTGAATTCTGAAGTCCAATGACTTGGATTTCTTCCTGCGAGATATGTATTCAGTGGGAAAGTCTATCTAGAAATCTGTAATTTTGAATTGCACCACTAAAACTGTTTACCTTCTTTTGTACTTCTTGAAAATATTGGCTGTATAGCAACAGAAGACAAACATAATTAATTTCATGAAATTCATAATATCTTAAGTTGCATTGTTGGATTCTTTCTTAATAAAAAGAAAGAAAAAAAGTGAAAAAAAATCCTTAAAATGTTTTTCATGCATCTGAAACCAGTGACATAGAAAGGAAAATATGAAAAATTAGTTCAGAATACTTAAAAGTAAGAATAAATCTTAACCAGTCAGCCATGAGCTCTATGCAACAAATATGATATGCTTTGATATTTAAAGGTTAAAATGTCTTTAATCTTAAGATTCATCATCTTTTTTAAAATCTAAAAGTATATATTTTACATTTATGCCATTTATTCATGTAAGATAATAATGCTCAAAGTTTACTTAAAATACTTGCAGCATCCAATTATTTTGATTTATTTTGTTGGACTTTGGTTGGAAATGTTCCTCTGAATTCATACCACCAGAGATGCTGGATTTTATTATTTCTAATTAGAAGTTTTAAAAATGGTTCTGTTAGATAATGGGCTTCACCAAAGCTAACTGGGCAGTGAAGAGATGTCATCAGTACATTAGAGGCAAGACACTAGCACAACTTAGTTTTCTGTTACATTCTCACCTCCTGTTTCTAAGATGTTAAGCTGTGTCAACTTTTTGAATGAATGTGGTTCTGTATCTTAATAGAGATGACAGAAGATTTCATATCTTGAGATCTCAAATTATGAAGCTCTGGAATATATAAAATCTATGTGTTGTATTATTGTTTCCACAGGTGTTCTTGTTACAAAGGAACCTTCTCAGGAAGGTCAAATGTACAAAGATCTCCACTGCCAATACCAAAATGAGTGAATTACGTTTTACTTAAAATGTTTACATCATGTTAACAAACTTGAAGTTTAGGTTGTTTGTTTGGTTAATAGTTTTGTTTCAGTCTTGTTTTTCAGAAGACTGATAGTTTCAATAGGTCATGGACAAAAGATTTACTGATATTAATGCTCTCCAACTCAAATCTGTATTGGACAATTTAAACCAAAGAATATAGTTTACAATGCATTTTAAAATGAATGATATTTTGGACACAATAATAATGTGCAGCAAAGAAATTTTAGAGTTAAATCAATAAAGCAGCATAAAAACAAAATCTTTGGTTTAATAAGTCCCTACCTCTATTTTAAAATGCTTCTTAATAACAGGATACTTATCCTGGAAGGAATAAAAGAAAAATTCGACATTGAAATGTAAATCTCAGAGGTCTTTCAACAGCTCTGAGTAGGTAGGCAAGAGTCATTAGACTTGCATAATTTTATAAAATGTAGTTTGTGCTCTATGAGTCAGACTGCAATTTATCAAAAGAAAATAAGGGGATTTTTTTTTATAATATCTTGGCTCATCGCAAACAAACTATTGCGTTGTCCTATATGGAGAGTGGTGGAACTGACATTGATAAAACAGCAAAGGGAAAGAAATGCTGTGCAGGTACACATTTTTGGTGGAGAAAGATGACATAACATGTCTGATGAATAGAGCCCATGTCCATTCTTTAATTGTTGTAAAATACATTCTTAATAATGTTGCATATTTCCAAGCTGGCATTTATACCAGGCAGAATCATAAATATTACAATTAATTCCTCAAAATAATGCCGAGCTGGCCTGATACTAGAATTACATGTTATTTTTACATAACTGGAATCTATAAGAGTAGCAGACATTTTGTTTTGCTCCTTATTCTGATTTTACTGCTTTTCCATATCTACCATAAATCTCAAGGAAAATTTTCTTCATTAATTGGATGTCCATGATATGAAACAGAATAATTTTCTAGCCAGAATAAATGTGGGAATTGAAGTAATGTTTTAGCTACTGATATATTTTGAGAGTTCAGTTGTAGAGCCAAAACAAAATGAAAAGAATTTCTGCTTTAGGAGAAAGAAATGAAAGAAAGAAGACAAAGGAGTAAGAAGCCTCAATGAGAAAGATAGCCTGTGAGGTACATTTATGAGAATGAAATACCCTTTACTGTTAATTAGTAGAGGTTTAATTTTGATAATCTGGTAATGTCGTGGATAAATGAGCCTTGTAATATAGAAACTCTACACTGATTTTCTGACAAAAATTTGGTTCCTTTTTTCAATTTTAGAAAAAGAAAATTTTTGAATTGCTGTCTCATAAACATTAGAATTTCATGGCACTTGCCTGAGACCCTGCCATTAAATAGCTCAGGGCTTATGAGTAGAGTGACAAGTCCTTCGGCAGTGCTGTTTCTGTGTCCAGACATCTGAAATTGCAAGTGACTCCAAAGTGTCTTTTAGCTAACCCTCCCCTTTGTGTGTCCTTCTCTCTCATCCCCCATACTTTGCCATGCTAGTATTGTACTTTCTCCTATTAGTCCAATGAGTAAGGAAGCCATTCATTGAAATATTCTTGTCAAGTCTCAGAGGCATCACTCAGACCTCAAGCCCATTTGAAATGCAATGAGATTTGCCATTGTTTGGGATTCTAAATACCAGATTATCAATACTTTCTGATTGTAAATACAAAGAAAATTATTGTGGTTTTTTTTGCATCTGACAACTTATATGTAGTAAATATTTGTTGTATACTTACTATAGACAGTCATGGGTATTTCTTTGAAGGTACTACCACGAACAAACTGAAAATAAATGTTTCTATTTAGTAACATGAAAAGTAGTAGTCTTACTAATGAAAGCACAGCACCACTTTAATTCTTACTAAAATTAAAATCATGTAACTGTTACTACATGTTCTATAAATTCAGTCTTCATGTAAATCATCTTCCAATTACTTTTATCAGGCCAGATGACATACAAGTCATTGGGTTGTTACTTAGAGCTTTAAAAATTTTACAGTTATTAATAAAAAGTTTAATATATATTATTAAATTCTATTCCCTGTTCTTTGCTTCTTTGACCCTACAAGAGCTAAGATTAAAATATTCCTTTGTTTTTAATGTGATCACTGACGTTTTTGTAATTAAATTCTTTACCTTTCCATTACATTTATTAGCAAGAGTATTTGAAGATATAAAAATTTTAGTTATCTATATGCAGGTTTATCTTCCATGCTGCATTAAAAAGTTATTGAATAAAAGGCATCTATAATTTAATTTAATATTTTCCTTAACCTTTAAAATATTATTTGGTCATAAGTAGTTTTGAATAGATACTTGTTGATGAAAACATTTATATCATTTCTTTATAGGTGGTTCATGGCGCATAAGCAAGAAAGAACAAACCCAATCTAGTGTACATTTTTTTAATTGCTGCATGTGTTTCTAGTCCTTTATCTTAAATCTTAAATGCTTGTTCAACATATTAAAAAAATCGAATAACATTCTGTACCTTAATCTGGATGTATTTGATCAGTTTATTAAGTATTTCCAGCAGCTGATCATTTCCAATGGGTATGTCTAAGAAAAGGAATATTAAATGACTATCAGTCAAAAAATGAAATAAAAAATCTTAATCTTATTGCAAAAAGCTTTAGCCTGTTAATAAGTTCATTCCTTACTGACCTGCTGGATAGAGGAGTTTATCTACAACATGAATGACCCCATTTGTTGTCATGATGTCCGATTCTTTGGATTTCAATTCATTCACCAGAAGTGTATCATTTACCTAACAACCAAACAGAGATGGGGGAGATGCCAATGAGAAGTTTGCTGAAGAATGGACTTAAAGATAATTAATAATTATGGGCATTTTTATGAATTTAATAATGGATGGACATTTTCATGAATTCATTCTAGACAGCTTACTCCTTTCAGGTAGATTTTGCTTCCTTGTGTGGTCTTTAGAATGTTAGTAACGCCAGGTTCAAATCCCTTTCCAATGAACACTCCTGGTGTAAGGTGATAAAGGATGATGTTTTGAAGAGCATTCTTGTCCCCTAGGGGAAAAGATATCAATATATATATATATATTTATTTCATTATATGTTATATTTTATGATGTTTTGATAGTAAAAGGACTAAGGAGCAAATATTTTTTGTCTTTATTTTCTCTACACAGTATTTTTATAATGTCATTATTTTTTCAAGTTGATATCATTGCTATGTCAAAAGATACAATCACTTCAATTATTTCAATCAAAATATAACCCAACTTATTGGGAGAAAACAATCAAATTATTTTTGAAATTCACTTTAATGTTTACCGTAACACTGAAAAATGACTTGTCTCAAGTAGTTTTGAATAAATATTTCCACAGTTAATTTTCTCATAATGTCATTATTTCTCAAAATGTCATTGGAGCAAATAAGATCTAAGCTCCAAGTGGTTTCAGGAGATTTTTATTGCAAATTTTTGCAACATAGAATTTTTTACAAATTCTTTGTCACCTTATTGTAGACCTTTAATAGAAGCAATGTAAGTGAACTTTAAGTCCAGCCACCTGATAGTAAGCTGTGAAAGAATATTAATAAGAGACTCTGTATGTTCAAAGTGAGTTAAAGAAAACCACAGCTAGCCATAAATATGAAAGGGTATTTATTAGGATTTATTTTATTTCTTTGAAATGCAGAGTGACAGAGAGAGGGAGAGACAGAGAGAGAGAAAGAGGCCATTCACCTATTGGTTCACTCTCCAAACTGCCACAATGTTCAGGGCTGGACCAGGCAGAAGGCAGGAGCCTGGAATTCCTTCTGGGTTTCCCACATAGGTGGCAGAGGACCCAAGTTGTTGGGCCATCAACTGCTACTTTTTCAGGCCCTTTAGCCAGGAGCCAGTTCTGCAACCAGTGCTACCATAAGGGATGCCACTGTTGCAGGCAGCAGTTTAACCTGCTGAACCATGATGCTGGCCCCAAAAGGGTATTTTTAAATTGTTTATTTATTTTCATTTTATTTGTAAGGTCCAGAGACAGAAGGAGATAGAGAAATAGAGAGAAGAATCTTTCATCCACAGGTTTACTCCTCAAATGCTTGCAAAATTTAGGGCTAGGCCCAGGGGAAACCCAGAGCCTAAAACTCAATCCAGGTCTCCCATGTGGGTGTCAGGGGACAAAATACTTAAACCATCACCTGCTGTCTCACAACATGTACATTAGCAGGAATTTTGATTGGAAAAGAAAAGGCTAGACTCAAACCAGTCACTTTGACTGTTCTAGATCAAGCTGCTGCCTGCAGTACTGGCATCTCTAATGGGCATGAGTTTGTGCTGGTTCCAGTACTGTCTGCTCCACTTCCAACACAGCTTCCTGCTAATGTGCCTGGGAAATCAGAAGAGGATGAGCCAAGTGCTTGGGCCCCTGCACCCTAGGGAAACCTAGAAGAAGCTCCTGGTTCCTGGCTTCAACCTGGCCCAGCCTTGGCCATTGCAGCCATCTGGGCAGTGAACCAGAGGAAGCAAGATCTCTTTCTCTTTCTCTGTCTCTCTTTCTCTGTGACTCTACCTTTTATGTAAATATAAAATAAATGTTAAAACAAACAACCAAACAAAATGAAACAAAACAGGCACTCTGACATGGGATGAGGACATCCATGCAGTGCCAAACACCCACAAAAGAAGACATTTTGTAGACACCTGGGCAGGAAAGCTTGAGAAAGGAGTGAAAATCTGAAATGAAGGGGCAAATGTCTAATATTCAGTTCAACTCACGAATCAGAATTTCTTTTTCTTCATTAGTCAGCTCCTTAAAGGCATCATTGGTTGGTGCAAATAAGGTCCAATCTCCAGGTTGTGTCAGGAGATCCTTCAAATCTGCAGCTTCCAGAAGGCTGAGGAAGATGCTGAGCAAGAAGGAGTATGTTCATTTTACTGGGTTTGCATTTAGATCTGTCACCCTCAATGCATAACATAGAATAGAATAGAACACAACAGAATAGAATAGAAGTGTGTATTGTGGAAAGATTGCTCATATATTTTTATATGTTTCCAATGTAATCTACTTGCAACAAAGTTTGATCATGGGGAAACAATTTTAATGTATATTACTTACATTTATTAATCTATGAAAAAATCAAACAACTGTAACTAAACAATCATTTTAATCAATTTCTCATCATTTAAAATAGAAGAAAATTTGCACAAAGCTTAGTCTATTTGACTTTCTTATTAACTCACCAAATCTTATTATAGTGCCCCATTAAGCAAATTAAATAGCACATAAATCAATTTTGAAAATAGTTGTATGGACTAAATTATATTCTCAGAAAACTGAATGTCTTTAGGAATATTAACTGTGAAACAAAAATAAACTGGCAGTTCTCATTCTTTTGTGGAGGTGCAATTAATGAGCTCACCTAAAGCGCTTATCCTGCTTCAATTTTTCATGGAGAGATTTCTCTGCTGGTTTGATGATCTCCCGGAATATGTGAATAGCACCATTTCTTCCTTGTTTGCTTCCTCTCACCATGCATGAATTTTCAATGCAGACACCCTAAGAAAGGAAAGAAAGACACATAGTGTCCTCTTCCTTGCTGAAAATATTTCATGTGGGTGTAGCTGGGTAATTGGTTCTGGACTGGCTTTTCACAGGTGTCACCTAACTTGAGGCCAGAGTCAACAGCTTCTCTCCACTATTTTCAATATCTTGTACAATCTGACCACTAAATTTTCTATTACTAATTAAGCTACCCTACCCATTAATCAGGTAATTTTGCCAGGAAATTAGAAAACAAATTCATAGAATTCCACTTGTACATTTTTCCATGCATGCTGCCCAGGTTCTAACCATTTTTTATACCTTCATTAGGCCAATGTTAACTACAGTTTCTTGACTGCTCCCTTTTTTGATCTTCAGAAATATTTATTATATTTTCTGGATTATAAGTCCTTATGATTACATCAAATCATTGATTTATTTATATTTTTGTAATAATATTTGCATATGTATAAACCAAAATACTAAATAATTTAAAGTGACTGCCTTGGAACTGTGAAGCCACTATGGGCAGCGACTGTGTGTTATATTTGCTTCTAGGTAATGCCTGATGTCCTGTGAAACCATTCAGCTGTATCCATGTTTGTTCCCTGTACAAAAACTGAGCAATACTACCAATTGTACTGTAATTTTGAAAAGGAATATTTCTAAAGTTCTTATTTCACTGATAAAAGTACTTTAGAGTCATTTTATAGAGTGAGTACATCTCCATGTATCTGTAAAACTTATCATTCAAAGGAATTCATTCATTGAAAGATGATATCATAGCAATATATTATCTTATATACTTGACTTCAATATAAGAAGTACCTGATAAATTATGAAGTACTATACAAAGTACTTACTTTAGATAAGTTTTCACGTTTTGTGGGATTTAAAATAATTAACATTTTAGAACATAAAGCTGTTTATAATGAAAGATAAGAATTATCTAAGTTATTATTACTTAGTACTTTCTGTATTCTTTCCTGAAAGTCAGTCATCCAAGCTAAGTTCCTTGAACTTCCTATGAATATTTCCTATTAAAACCACATTAAGAAAATTATTGAAGGATCAGCTCTTCAGTTGGGTCACCGTCTCTGGTTCAAGTCCCAGCTGCTCCGTTTCCAATCCAGCTCCCTGCTGATAGGCCTGGGAAATTGGCAGAGGATGGCCCAGACATTTGGGCCCCTGCATCCACATGGGAGACCTGGCTCTTGGCTTCAGCCTGGCCCAGCCCTGGTGGTTGTGGCCATTTGGAGAGTGAACCAATAGAAGGAAGATTCTCTCTCTCTCTCTATCTCTATCTCTATCTCTATCTCTATCTCTTTCCCTCTCTATAATTTGACTTTCAAATAAATAAATACATCTTTTTAAAAATTATTGAAAATATTTGCTGTCACATCATTCTTTGACATGTGCATATTTTTGACAGGGAAATGTGCAGGTTTGATTCCGACCACTTACTGTACGATATACGAAGACTCTGAGCTTTTTGCCTCCAATTGTCTCCAGTATTTGTCCATTGTAAAGCTCATTAAGGCCAACTTTTACTTTCAATATGTGATTCTGTAGAATTAATTTAAGAAGGCGCTGATCCATGCTCAGAGTATCATCTATGAATAAATTCATTAAGAAAGAACTTTATATAGAAAACATTAAAATTTCTTCTAGTAACAGGAAATCATAAAATGGGATAATCTCTGATACTGTGGAAATTATGGATCCTACATTCATATAGCAAAAGTCAACTAAATGTTCAATTCTAGCAACTCAATTCAACAGTTTGAAAATGTAACTTATTGCATCAAATGATTATAGCAGTTCCACATGATTCAGACCTTCTTGATCTCCGTAGGGCTATGGAGTTTTATGGTGGTCATCGGCAAAATCTAAACTCAAATGATGGCCAAGATTTTTTCTGAAAATTAAATATTCAGTAACCACAATTGATTGCTAGTGGTGAATCTTTTTAGATTCATCTTTATTAGTAGATTTCAGTTACACATCCTCTTAAAAGTGAGCTAATGCTAAAATATATGGGCATCATTATTACAAAAAAGAAAAGGAATATTACTAGAAGTTTGAATTTTAATGATTAATAACTGTTTTCCAGGGCTTATATATACATATTTATTTATTCTTTTTAATATCAATATAATTGTTCCTAGTATTGCTAACCCATAATTTATTCAACCATTCTTCTTTTTTAATTTTCATTAATATAAGATCACACTTCATGTATTTCACAGATATGAGTCTAAGAAGATAACCATACTTACCTCCCTCCCACTCTCCCTCAATCCCCTTCTTTCTTCCTTTCTTTTGTTTCTTTAATTTTTGTAAAAATATAATTTCAGTCATAAATTAGGACTTGGAAAAATATAAAAAGAGTGATAGTTTTTCAATTGTTTAATTTTCCTATCAACTTAAATATTTCTTTTTGAAATCACTTTTCTGGAAAAGGTGGTAGGTTGACTCAATCAAATGAATAGCAATTTTTAGATGAAATACTATATACTGTTTCACATTATGATATAAAATATACATTTTTAAATTTATTTATAATCTGACATGCATAAAGCCCAATTTCTGAGATTCAAACTACACATAATTATTCCTAAATATGATTGTATTGGTGTCAAAAAATAAGATTTATTTTTGTTAACTATGTATGCTGGAAACATTATTAGACTCCTGGAATAACTGAATATTCCTCATCACAAACTCTCATTACATGTAGACTACTATCCATTAAAAGGAAATGCTTGCAATAAAGAACATTTTAGTAGAGACAATGTGGTATAATACTTTGTATGTGTAGCTAGTCTAAAAATTAATCAACACCCTGTAAAAATTGCATTAGGGTTTATTGCAAATGACAATGATGAAGAGAAAAGTTGTGTGGGGCAGTGTGGGAACAACAGTGTCCTGTACATACCAGAAAATGCATTATTCACAGGTGCCAGCAAAGTGTATTCTCCATCTGGCTTCAAAGAAGATGCCAGACCTAATTGGGCCACAAGGTCTGTGAAAGTGGTTTGCTGTTTTCCACCCAGTTCAATCACTTGTTTGGCTATAAAACAAATCATTACCATATCAACAATGTCATCATTGTTATCATCATGAAACTAGTAAATCAGTTCTTGCCTGGTTTTTAAACTTGTAAGCTATTCACTGTAGCTTCCATGTAAAGAAACACACACCCTTCCTTAGTAAGGGGGTTCAAGTTTACACTCTGAGGCACTGATAAGCACAATGAATTTCAGAGTGAAAATATATTTCTATTTTCCTACTGTAGTCTTATTTAATTCTCTGTTACTCACTTTTTATCTCTCTCTCCCCCTTGTGAGTGCCATACCTCTTCATTTGGTGAAAGCTGACTATATGGTTTCATCCTTCCTTTTGTTTCCCCTAAAAACTCTGGCACTCTGAGACTTTATAAATATTAGATATTAGAGAACTTGGAAAGCCCAACTTCCCTTCATGGAGTGTCCTTGGATACACACGGTTTACACTTAGCTAGCTCTCTACTCATTTTGTGTCTGTGCTTCACGTGCCCTTTTTTATACTCATATGTATTTTTCATGGGCGTACTCCAGAAGACACCATAATTGGTCAAAAATATCAAGTAAAACAATAAATGAAGCTATTGCTCACCAGAGTCAGGAATTAGGACCTCATCAATCAAGTGGATCACACCGTTGTTTGTCACAATGTCTTTTTTGTTGACCATTTTGACTCCGTTTATTGTTATGCTGTCACCTTCACAGCCTATCTCAATTGTGTTTCCTTCCATGGTTTCAAAGACGGCTCCTCCCATAATAGCCTCAGAACACTGGAGAGTATTTAGAATGTGATATTTCATGAGAGCTGGAAGAGAAACAGAGTGAGCTTTCAGAGCAAGGGAAATAACAGTTGACCCTTAAAAGATGATGTGTTTTGTTGTGGAACTAAGTCTTCCTAAGAAATATTTATATACAAGTATGTGTGTAAGTCCTAAAAATTGACCAACAAATCTTAAAATCTTAACCATTTGCATTCTATGAATGTTTCTTCCATCAAGTATACAGTAGTTTCACATAGGAAGTAAGAAGAAAAGATCAGTTTTGGAAATGATTTTTGCAGCACTAGATAGATAATGCAGTAAATAAAGTTCCAGTTATATTAACAAAGTAATTTCTAACGTGGAAACAAGAAAAACTTGTCCATTCAGACAGCCTATGAAATTATTTCTTAGTTCCAAAAGCCTAAGTAATATCCTCAATTAGCTACTCATAGTGACACATCTTTACTTAATCTGTGTGAAGCTGGTGGAGGCTGAGAGTAAGAGAGATAATACTCTCAATATCCTAGAAAGCAGCCAAAATGAAAATGATTCCTTGAAAAACACATGGAGGGATTGGTATCTTCTCTAGGTTATCTCCATAGCTATATCCTCAAAACTCTGAAATTATGTATTAAATATATATTTTGGGACAGGCTGAGTACATGAAATGTAGTCTACTTGGGTACAGAATGAGAGCCTTGAAAGAAACAAAATTCTGTGTATAAATAAGTAGTGGCTCAAGAAAACTGCAGTTTCCTCAATTGTATATCTTAGTGTACATTTAGAATTAAAATGACTGCATAATATATATATATATATATACAATATTAAAATTTCTAATGCAATATCTTAAATACTTAAAATCCTGATTAATGTTTGCCACTTATTTCTTTGTTAATAGCACAAAAGCATGTGATCATTAGGATATTTCATTATTTAAGAATTTTGCTCTGCCTACGCTTTTTAATAACATTTCATAGTATAACTCAGAATGCAAGTTTTCTTTGCCCTTGTCTATCAAAGTTGTTATTATTGGCAAGAGGTAGTCTCTTTTTCTTCTCCTTTGCATCCTGGAATTCTGAGAGACCTCCCAGAGATGAAAATTTATTCCTACCTTCAGAAGCCACTTTGTCCCCCATGATCCTCTCTAGTACACCACGTGGGAGTTTCTCAAAAGCTTCGTTGGTGGGAGCAAAGAGTGTGAAGTGTCCATCTCTTCCAAGGGTCTCCAGGATGTCAGACGTGATGGCAGCTGCCTGAAATGCAAATGAGATTTTCAGAGGCTTGCATATTGCAAACTGAAAACAAAATCACAAAATAGCCTAGGCTGATATGGGAGAGTTGATTAGTTCACTATACAAGTTACTCTTATTAGATCTCTAAAATACTACATTTTTGACACAACCTATTTCCAACTTTCTTCAAACTGTGTTTGCAATACTGAGACTTCTTTCCAATGTTTGGGTGACTGTGGCAACAGCCATCTATACCTATACTGAGATGGGCATGTTCCAAACATATTGAATAAATTACATTCACATAACTAAGCACTCTTTATGTACCACTCCCAATCAATATTATCATTTCAAATGAGGAGATGACATTTCCTGTACTAGAGGAGAATAGTTTTATTTCTGGAAATGTATTTATTGCATTTCTGCCATATTTGTTAATGGCATTGTATTGTCCTTAGATTTCAACAGGGAAAGAGGAGGATTTCAATGACACAAGACGGTCTGCTCTTGTGCTTACTCTAAAAGATGAAAGGTCGTCTTCTGCTTCAATGAAGTCTTGAATTGAAGTTCCAATTTGTGTGAGGACGCGGTCAATGACATGTACAACTCCATTTGTTGCAATCTGATTCCCATGGATAACTCGAGCACAGTTAACGGTGACAACCTATAATTATTTGGGAAAATAAAGTGCTGAAATCAGAGCTATCCATTGGCCACTAAAACTAAAACTGTGACATCATTTCCAGTCTTTATTTATTGTAATAACTATAAGATGAAAGACTCCACGTTCTGAATGTAAATGTTTGGATGAAGACTTATATATAGCTATATTTACCAAAGAAACTATAAGACAGAAATAAATGAGTTCAGAATCTATGTCCAATTACACTTAACATCAGGAAATATAAAGCAAAGGTATATCCTTCATTGGAATTATTGCTTCTAGTCTTTTTTTTTTCTTTTATACAGTCATATGCTATTTCTAATGTTGGTCAATGAATTGAATGAAGGAGTTTAATTGGTCTTAAAATAAGTTCTGAGAGAGAAAAACATATAATTATTGAATAAATATAATCTGCCCTATTAAAATGACTTCCTAAGTATTGTGTTACCACAGGTCTTTTTGTCCCTAGGAATTTTACTGTTGAAAGAATCCTAGGGGTTGATGCTATGGCACGGTGGGTTAAAATCCCAGCCTGAAGTGCCAGCATCCCATATGGGCACCTGTTTGAGTCCCGGCTGCTCCATTTCTGATACAGATCTCTGCTATGACTTGGGAAAGCAACAGAAGATGGCCTAAGGCCTTGGCCCCTGCACCCATGTAGCAGACAGGAAAGAAGCTCTTGGTTCCTGACTTCGGATCAGCTCAGTTCCAGCCATTGTGGCCATTTGAGGAGTGACACAGTGGATAGAAGACCTCTCTCTCTATCTCTACCTCTCTCTGTAATTCTTTCAAAAAAATAAAAATAAAATAAAATAATCCTATGATGTTGTTGGCATTTTTCCACAAAGACTTATCCGAATATACAAGAACATCAAAAGAATAGAAGGAATAATAATAATAATAATAATAACTACTCATTCTCTTACCATTCTTTTTTGTTATATAAAAAAAATTACTTAAAACACACCAATTACTAAAATTTCCTTTTTAGAACACCAAATACATTGTCAATGAATTGCCAATGTAATTTATCCTTTACTAAATTATTTGGTAAAAAAAACAGTAACTAGAGTGGAAATTTACATGCTCTTCATTTGGGTAATGGTAATTGTACTTATGTTATACTCAATAACATTTTATTATTACCATGAACATTACATTAAAAGTTCAGACAAAAAAGAAATATTATTCAGAAACCTAATTTTTATGAATGAAACTTACGCCATTGGGATAATGGTTAATGAAAAGCCCCAGATTGTTATACATTGAAGGAATAACCATGCCATTCTTTAAGTCCTTGGTCAACATTCTCTTATTAACCATGTGGCTGTGTAAAGCATTCAATAATTCAACATTTACATTGCTCTCCAGACCTCTGCGGATATCCTAGTAAAAAATGAAATGATACACGTTTATTTTATTTACTGAAGTCTTATTACCATCACATTTCTACTTTTTCATTACTTTCTTATTACAGTTTCATATAGTCATAAAGTTGTGACAAATAACATGAAATTATATTATTCAAATTGATTAAGGAGTTTTATAAGTTCAGATACTCCTTGGACATTTCCAGAGACAAAATAATCGTTTAAATGGAAATGTTGTTGAAGAGACAATATTGATGTAAATCATGGACAAAGGCTTTTGGAATCAAAAGATACTTTAAGTGCTATAAATGGGAATCAAAATCGATGAGTTTTTTACAGCACAAATTTAAATGAGGGTATTATGTTTTTATTCACAAACTCAAGAATTCAACCATCCTGTAACTTCTATATCAACATGTTATATCAGGCTTTAGTGATGGCACAGGAAATACAATGATAAGTAAGATAAAGTTTTAACCTATATGATTTGTATGCAATAGGTAGAAGTGAATATAGTAGGATCTAGGACAGAAAGAGGAAAAATTGTCTTCACAGCTCAAATGAGAAAGACTATTCTTAAAATGGTTTAGAGACAGACTTGGAAGGATAGATAAATTTGAATTGGTAAAGATGTGATATTTACTCTTCAATCAATTCTTGGTTTATTATTTTTTCAATTTTTCCCTTTTTATTACTTTTTAAAATTTATTAATATATAATATTATTCTTTCTTTCCTTCTTTTTTCTTTTAATTTTTTGCTAGAACATACTTTGAATTTACTTTATAATGGTTTTGTTTATTTTTTAAATTAGCTATAAGTTTTCTGGGATATTATTGCACTTATAAATAAATATATTAAAATGCTTACCTTCCTTCACAACTCATCTTTTTATGTAATCTCACATATGTACAATAGAAAATGCAAAATGTGTATGAGTTATCCAAGTTTGTAAGTCAACTGGCATGAAATAACAATAATAAGAAAATAAATATTTAACAAAAGGCATGAATTACAGAATCCAAGTTGTCCCAAGCCTCATTACTGGGGGCGAAGTAGGTGAATGATCCCTTTCCTTCAATCTCTTCCCTCAGTTTTGAGACATCAGAATAACGCTGTGTTGTAGTGGCTCCCACAATGCCCAGTGTTCCATAAACATGGTCGATAGGCATAACTGAAATAGTCAAAAAATAAATAGGTGTTTTAAATAACATTTTAGTAAATAATTTAACCATCATTTAAAGTTTTCACAACCTTGATGATTTTAGCAATAAAATATCATGAGTCATCAATTTTATATGACGGTTGTTTTTTGAGTACCAAATAATAAAATACTATCAAACAAAGTACTATCAAAAACTGTTTTGTTGTATATCTTTTGTGGTGAAGGAAAACCAATTTTAAACTACCATCCTACTTTAACATTTAAACTGATTTGATTCCCATTTTGCTATGTCACCAATAGCTCAGTTACAATGATCAAAAGATATCTCTCATTATTTCACTTAAAAAATGCTTTTCAATTTTCATTGTCAATGGAAAAAGTAATAATTTCTTTCATGTTGGCTTCAGGTTCCGAAGTAGTATACTATTGTTATTGTTACTGTTATTCCGAAGTAGTAAACTATTGTAAAATGAATATAACATATCTGCTTTTATTAATCATAATTTCGGTAAGGATATAGATCAAAATCTCTAACACTCCAGAATATTTCTTCTTTATGTTGGGAGATTCTTGTATAATGTCAGATTTCAAGGATTTATCCAGTATTATGAAGTAAATTTATTTTTCCAACCCTATTTGATTTAAAAATAGTATAATTTGGATAATATAGTAGAGACATGATTGCTAACTTTGTGAACACCTCAAGATGAGGTGACATGAATTAACAAATTTAATTATAAATTCAGCTTTTTAAAAAGAACTAAGATGTGGAAATTTAGGCAAAATGGACAAGGTAAATTTAATAAGGTATGATTTAATTCTTATGTCCTAATTGAAAAAACAAATCTTAGAGAATTGTCATGATCTTATTTATGTATAAAAGCAATAATTGTAATCAATCTTAATTGCTAACAGATCCAAGATGAAGTAATCATTTGAAATGGTCACCAATGGCATCGATTAAAGTGCATGGTCTCCCTAAATGCTCAGACACAAGTGGATTGTACATACCACGCTGAGATCACACTCAGGGAAAATGATAGTAAGATTACAGACTTTCTATGGCTGGGTGGCCATGATAATGAGGGCATCAGAGTCTATGTCACATTAGAGAAGTGAGATTAAATCAGAGAAGACAAGATTCTGTTGGGGAAGAGGGAGTAGCTGGAGGAAGTGGGTGGTGATTGGCATTACGAATCTGAATGTCTGTCATCTCAAGGAAGAACTAGATGGACTCTCATTCTGTATTTGTTCATAGCTATAGGAAACACAACTTTAATGTATGATTTAGAGCTGTTCAATTAGGGATGATGCCTTGAAAACTAGCTGAGTGTCCTGTTTCTAAACAAACTTACGGAGAGGATTTTTGTTCTTGAAGGGAGATTGAATTACTTATTATTAAGCTTATTTTGTTTTGTTTAGCATCCTGAGCATGCAAAGACTGTTCTAATATTTATCACTGTGTTACATGTATAATTAACACAAAAATATGGGGGCATATCTCAGATTTATGGTGGTGCTAAGAACACTCACACACACACACACACACACTTTCACACACACAATTGGTTTCTCCGAAGGCTATGTCAACTCTTTTCTTCACACAAAACAAGTTTGTCATTTGACTTATAATAGTTGGATGCTTTACCTGCTGGGCAGCCTTTCATTCCTTCCATTCGCATGTAACCAGGACAACATTCATACAACACAGTCCTGAATATTGGAAGAAAATCAATATTAAAATGGAGCACTACAAGGATAGATTCTGAGATACACCTGACAAAGCATATCACTTGTTTGCATAATTTAGTGAGAGTCTTGAAATGAGGATTTCTCCCTCTGGTACCAAGATATTTGTATGTTTGATTTCCTCTACAGTCTTATTGACCATGGAAAAGTTCTAGACTCTTGATCCAGAAAAATGGAATTTGAGTCCCAGTTTCACTACTTGGTAAACATGTGATTTGAACAAGTAATTTAGTAAATTTGAGATCAAGTCTCCCCAATTATTTCATATGGATATGGAGCTATAATACCTACTCAAAGAGTAATTGTGAATCTCAAATAAAACAATGCTTTTAAAACCATTTTGTCAACTACAAAGTGCTATAAATGTTAAATAGTATAAGGTTCTCAGAAAAAGAAAGTACATTAATCCATTTAGTCAAAAAATGCTATCTCATCACTGAAATACGTAATACAATTTTAGAATTAAATTTTTAGCAATTTTATTAATTTGTTCATATGAATTGTAACTTTTTATTGTTTCACTTTTTAATTTATTAATATCAACAAGAGATTTCACGTATTTCAAAGATATGAGTCTAAGAATATAATGATACTTTTGTCCCTCACCCCTTCCTCTTACCTTCTTCCCTTCCATGTTTTTTTTAAATATTTTGTGACAATGTACTTTCTTTTTTTTAAGTCAAAGATGCTTTTATTTTACAAATAAAATTGAAATTTTGACTTCTGTATTCCTAATAACATATATTGGAAAATCATATTTTTTCTTATTGCAACAGATTACAATGAATAAAATTCTACATTAAAATGAAAGAAAAATTTTGATATGCTATGAGAGTTTATGCTGGTTAAATTAAAAAAGAATCTTTTCCTGAGATGTTATCCTTAAAACCATTTGAGACACTATGTGTGATTTTTGTTTGGAGGAAAACAGTAAGATAATTTACCTTATTCATGCACAACTGGCTTATTAGACACATATACTCTGCTTTACAACAATTTCAACTGCGACATTGTACTTTCAATTGACCTTATAAACCCAGGCTTAATGCTCCTCTAAATAAAGAGTTTTGCCAGTAAAAAGTAGAAAGACCACCCTTCTGCAGGAGTATAGACAAGGGCTTTAAACAATAATTGAATCACAAGATGTCAGACACACATCAGCTGATGACTGGATAAAGAAAATGAATGCGCACACACACAATGGAATACTACTCAGCTGTAAAACAAAATGAAACCCTGTCACTTGGATGCAACAAAAGCCAAACCCAAAAAAGATAAACGTCATGTGTTGTCTGATTTGAGGTAGCTAATATATACAATATAATAAGTACAACAACAAACAATCTATATGAGTGCAATGCAACATTTAGAATATTCTATATATTTTAATTGTAAAGTTTGAAACAACAGTTTACGTAAGTATTCAAGAAAACACTACCTTGTTCAAAGTTAACAGTGTGTTGAGTTTAAAGGTAGTATTATGAAGGCAAAAAGTTAGAAAATTTAAGTATTCAAGAAAACACTACCTTGTTCAAAGTTAACAGTGTGTTGAGTTTAAAGGTAGTATTATGAAGGCAAAAAGTTAGAAAATTTTAAAAATATGACATTTAAAACACCTTTCCTTATTAGTTATATTTTGAGAGAAAATAATAATCACAAATTATCTATAGCACATGCTTATATAATCCATGAATCAGGCTTCATATAGAGAATTTAGGCACCATGTTAGAAAATTTCAACACAGTTAACTGTAATTTCAACTGATAGTTGAATAATGTAGTTATCTGAGTAGAGGCTTTAACAATTTTCATTTTATCTGGAAAACATTTATGATTAATAAAACTCAGTGTTTCCACATGGTCTATAGGACAAAGCAAGAGTAAGGAAAAGTCATTACGATGCACAGCTGTGAATGTGGGAAATGTATCATTATTTACTGAATAGTATCTAAAGTTTCATGGAATGTCAACTGAAAATGCCACTGACATTTTCTAAGGAGATATTGCAAACTAATATTTTACTAGACCAATGAACTTTCACTGTGGAGAAATATTAAACCTAGGAAACTTCATTTTTTTCACTAGGCCTGCCCAATTTACTTCTCCCAAATTCCCCAAGCAACCGCTCAACAGAAAGACAAACATTTCTGTCGACTAATACATAAAATCTTAAAGATGGCAGAAGCAAAAGGTGGCAGACCACACATGTTTGTGTCAATATTATTGATTTTATATGTATTATTTGTAACTATCATTTATACTTATTTCAGTGTACAGACGTAAATGTGTTTGTAAAAATGAAGCTACTTGGGAAAATAAACTATTATACTTAAACAAAGGGGACACTGTTAGGTTTCTGGTAAAAAGCCAGAAGGCAAATCAGATATTTCTTTTTAATGTAAAGCAAGAAAAGAATCCTGGCATATGCTCCATATAAGCCTCACTGTCTGTAAAATATTTAGATGACTAATGTAAGATTGTTGTATACTTCCTAACCCTCTAGGAAGGATGTAATAAAGAGATTCCATAGTTTCACAGAGCATGTCCTTTCTTCTGTACTTAGTGTGCATTCCAAATAAGCCTTGTAGTATCCAAAAGCATGAAGAACAAAGTTAGGAGAACCCAGAGCCTCAGAGTTCCCAGCTGGGGCCTGGCTTGCAGTATACTGGAGACATTGCACACACCGACTTGCACTATAAATATGTGAATGACTCACACATCTAGCAAATATCTGAAAACCAATAGGAATGAGGTCTAGGGAAAACAAGGCCCTCAAGCTGAAACTCCGTTAAGTCAATGAACAAGGAACCACAGCAAATTTCTGTGGTGTCCTAGACTGGGGAGACATTGTCCATTTAAGGTCGTATGCCTAGTAGACATGATGCTTGCTTGGAAATAAAGATAACATTATGCCATTCAAATGGGTCCTCAGTTACTACTGTGGTGCAGTAGGCTAAGCCTTCACCTGCAGCGCTAGCATCGCATCCGGGCGCTAGTTTCTGTTCCGGCTGCTCCTCTTCCGATCCAGTTCTCAGCTACGGCCTGGGAAAGCAGAAGACGGCCCAAGTGTTTCAGCCCCTGAAGCCACGTGGGAGACCTGGAAGAAGCTCCTGGCTCCTGGCTTTGGATCAGCCTAGCTCTGGCCATTGTGGCCAATTGGAGAGTGAATCAGATGATGTAAGACCTCTCTCTCTGTCTCTCCTTCTTTCTGTCTGTAACTCTACCTCTCAAATAAATAAATAAAATATTTTTAAAAAATTAGGAAGAAATGAGAAGTGACATACATAACTAAGGTTAGGAGTCATGTCCTTTGGACTACTGAAGTCTTAAAAGATGTAATGGGCTTCTGTGATCACCTTTGCAGGCCCCTGGGATGTACAGCCTGAGCTTGGAATCAGTGGATTAAATGAAGAGCTGAAACTCATGTTTCTTCCAACTGTAAGCTCTGATGAAAATTCTGAGTTGAATTGGAGTACTTGAAAGAATTTCTAAATGATTTGAAAGAACATTAATTTTTGCTTCAAAAACCCTTATATTTCAGGTCAATTTGTTCTTTTGGCTCACTATTTCCCCCTAAGATGAGGAAACTGAGGAACAGAGGTTAACTGACGTGCCTGGAATAAAAGAGAACAAAGCCAGGAGTAGAAATGACAGTCACTTTCTTCACTGATTCTCTCCCAAGTCACATTGTCCTGTGATCTGCTTTCTTTTACTTTACAACAACATGTAGATTCAGGGAGAAATCTGAGTTTCACTCATGAAAGTACAGATGCAGGAAGAATTCCTTTATTCACATACTTGATTTTTTTCTTTAAAATAACTCACAATTTTACAAAGTATTTTCAAGAAGAATACTTTCACCATAAGACACATGCATCATGATGTCATATTTGGAACTGGCTTATTGTGAAAAAGATATACTCACGTTTTCTTCCCGCATATGGCACCTTGGTACCAGTTCTTGCAAGAGCTGAAGTATTTCTTTTTGGTGCCTAGGATCTGTTGAAGGGCACAGACGTTTGGGCTGGAGGATGGAGGGAAGAAAAAATTGTTAATGTCCTAATTATTTTGCTTTTTTATGATTAGAGGTCAGATGATTTTTAAAATAAAATCTTAAGACAAGGATCTGACATTCTAAGATGTGAGTCAAGTCTTCCTCAAATCTAACTCTTGATCCAATCCTACTGAATCCCTGTAGAGTTAAAAATTTGTGAGACATAGAGAATATCATACTTCCCTAAAAGCAGTGCACAAATGTTGCAAAAATTAACCTACCTATTTGAAATATTAAGACAGATTTAAATTTACCATAATTTCACTTTTTTATTTCTTGCTACTTTTAATAGTGCATAATACTTTGAACCTTGTCAAACCAAATATGTGCTCATTTTGGGAACAGGTTGGCTTTAATTTCCTCTGAAACAATGAGAAATTAGAGAACAGGAGACAAGCTTTCCTATGTACAAAGACATTAATTTTCTAAGTGATTATGGAAGTAAATGAGAGCTAAAATTAACCTTTAAGCAATATGGTTGCACAAAAGAAAATGTATTTCTTTGAATGGAGGTGCGTGACAGGTCAAAATATATTCTGTCACAATTTAAGACGTTTTTCTTTCTTAAAGAGACAGAAGTTTTATTTTCATAGTGACTCAAGGTAGCTTTGGAGCATCATAAGAATCCCCCTGGGTTTAGGTAAGGGCATAGGAAGAAATGCCAAGGTCCAGTTCAGAAAAGAAGTAGAAATGGTTGGTTAAGTTAGTAAATTATGTCTGATAATTATTTAAATTGCTAAGGTGTCAATGCATTTATCCTATGAAATACATTTTTTGCGAATTTTACACAAATCAAATTTGAAAGTTACTTAAATGCTTCAAAGAATTCAGAGAACTAGTTATATAACAAGCACTTAATTTTAATACATAATTTAAATTAAATTTGCTCTAACAACATGTGAGATAGCAAAGCTATTTACATATGTTTACATAGCCACTAACAACAGATTCCTTAATTTGGAAAACCCCATTGCCAGGCCACTGGAAGGAAATAATGACACAAATAAACTGAATCAGAAATGCATGCCCTGTTAAATCTTGTTACTTAAAATAAAATTATATTTTATAGACAACATGATAACAATTGTTAAACTGCTTATCTAAATCATATACAATTCCTTTTGCATTTTTCTTGTCATTTTACAACAAGTAGAAAAAAAAACCTACAAACACTGAGTTATATGTAAGGAACGTTTTATATACTTGCACATATAATGAGATAAAGGGAGGAAAAAAGTTCATAAAACCAAACCACTGACTTACCCCTGATCCCGGCCCCTGATACGGCTATGAGCCAAGACCTTGTCATAATAACCATTGGAGTTTGCAGGGTTAACAACAAGCAGCAGGAGGACAGCAAATATGGGTAAAAAAGGAATCATCTTTTGTCTCTCCGTTGCAGTTAGTCCCCGAAGAGAACTGGCAGTGGTGTTTGGAGAGCTCAGAGCTTATATGCATGTCAGTTGTGGGCGGGAACTCTGCATCAACCTGGGAACAGAACTCTCTCCAAGAAACATCAGCAACTTGAGGTCCTCAGCTCAACTCCGTAAGGGTTAGTTACCATCACTGAATACAGTGAGCTTCTTCTCATTATAAAGAAGATACTTATTTATATTCACAGGGAAACTGATTTATTGCATGTTTCTATTTCGATTTTATTCTTTTGTACTTCAGAGATTTGTTTTATGGAAATAATTTTGTTTGAATTTTACAGACTGTTCTGTAATCTACTTTAAAAGTACATGCTCTTGTGCTCACTGAGATCATTATCTGACTTTACCACATCTTGTCACATGTAGCCCACATCAGAAATGAAAGGTGATTAATTGTCACCAGAACACAAAGGCATTTGGTTCATCCTGAGAGGGTAATAATGACTGTTGGTTAAAAATAAATTCTAGATAGATTCAAGACTTGTGTGAGATGGGAAGTAAGAATATGGAAGAATCCACAACTTCTTTGCAGTTCTACTAAAATGGGGAAATACCTCCCATTTCCTTTTTCTTTAAGAATATCAATCAGTAGAAGTAACAGCAATCTACTTCTGGCAAGTCACTCTAACATTTGAAACAAAACGGAAGGCAATAACCATTTGTGCTTTATTGTTTTTGGACTACATATTGCACAGCTTATTGGGCATCTCTAGGCAGCACATCGACTGATACGCACAAATAAAAGCAGTCCCTATTGAACACAAGTATTACTAATTAAAAGTAGTGAGATTATTAAATACATATTTTAAAGTGGTATCATTACCAGCATTCTTCTTATTACTTTATTTACAGTAACTCAACTCTCTCAATGTTATACTATGTAATTCCTAGCAAAAAGACAATACATTCTTACAACGCCACACAGAATATGACTAATGTTCGAACATTTTGGATAAAGGAAATCTGAGGGTCAGAAGTCAACAATAAGGTGAAATTATAACTGCATTCTGTTTCTTTAAATATCAAGTTATAAACCATCCTACTGTGAAAATGCAATTTCTATATGTTTTGTTGCAAAGTGCTCCCTGACAATGGAACATCAGTGTTTGTTTCACACTGGCAATTTAGAGAAACTCACTTGTGCTCTGCATATTGTCAGATTGGAAGCGCTTTTAAGAGAGGGCTGGATTGGACCAGAAAGAATTCCAAGTATCAGAAGTATTATGTGTAAGCTTCCTCTGAGATTTTGCCTTCTGGTGTCAAGATAATTTTGCAACTTCTGCTAGTTTTATTAAGAAAGCACACAATGAAATAACAAATAATGAAATATGATGTAAATACCTCTTTTCAATTTGAAAATCTTGGGCTAAAATACAAAAAATGAACTGTCAATTCAGAAGGAGAGCTGAATAGAAGATACCATCAAAACTAAATTATATTCCTTGCATAGTCTCTTGTGGTACAAAGAATATTAACCTACCATTTATATTTCTCTGACTGAAACTATCCCAACACTATCTGTATGGTACTGGTTTGGTTTATATAATAGTTTCTTATCTCTGTTACATTGTACAAACGGTAGGTGGTCAGTAGGTGCTTATTGAGTAGAAGACAGGGTTGTTTATGAAAGGATTCTATTTAATATCAGTAAATTAGCATTTTATAACATTCTTTACCACATAGCTATAAAAAAGTCTTTAATTCTAGACTTGTGATGCACTATAAATATATTATTTACCTTTTAAAACATAATAGTTGAATTTGGAATTGCAGAAGAATAAATAAAAATCACAATATGTACCTTCAATAGCATTACTATGAATAATCATTTTAATCATCAGTGGAATGCTCACTGCTATTCATGGAAACTTCTAATTTTCATACAGTTGCAACTATTGACAAGATTTTTCATGATGAAGCTGATATTTCCTCAAATCCAGTGGGGTTTTAGAGGAGGGGAGGGAAGGAGGTATAGAGAGAAAGAGATTCAGACTTGGATAGCAGGTATCAAGAAGAAAAACAAACTTTAGAACAATTCACAGTGATAACAGACTGACTTGAGTATAGGCAAAGGCATAAAAAAATTCCTGCTATATTACCTACTTTGTTATGAAGCCCACAATCAGTTGAAAATATTTTTTTTTAAAGGGCACATTTGAACTAGTTACCCCTTATTGCCAGATTTATTCATTGGAATAAGTGCCTTCTATTCATAATGAGTGTTTTATTTTTTTAGAAAACTTTTACTTACTAAATGTAAATTTCAAAAATACAACTTTTGGGTTATATCAGTTTTTCTCCCTGTAACCACCCTCCCGCCCGAAAACCATCCCATCTCCCACTCCCTCTCCCATCCCATTCCTCATTAAGATTCATTTTCAATTATCTTTATATATAGAAGATCAACTTAGTATACACTAAGTAAAGATTTCAACAGTTTGCACCCACACATAAACACAAAGTATAGAGTACTGTTTGAGTACTAGTTTTATCGTTAATTCACATAGTACAACACATTAAGGACAGAGATCCTACATGGGGAGTAAGTGCACAGTGACTCCTGTTGTTGATTTAACAATTGACACTCTTATTTATGACGTCAGTAATCACCTGAGGCTCCTGTCATGAGCTGCCAAGGTAATGGAAGCCTCCTGAGTTCGCCGACTCCGATCTTATTTAGACAAAGCCATAGTCAAAGTGGAAGTTCTCTCCTCCCTTCAGAGAAAGGTACCTCTTTTTTTGATGGCCTGTTCTTTCCACTAGGATCTCACTCACAGGGATCTTTCATTTAGGTCATTTTTTGCCACCGTGTCTTGGCTTTCCATGCCATACTGAGTGGTTTAAATGGACAAATAATTGCATAAACTATGTAATGAAGATAGATGATTGTTTCCTGCTGACAGGGAATATAGTTTACTTTTGTAAAAAGCATGAGCCATGCTCATCCAATAAAAAAAGAGGTTCTTAAATCTTTCTTTGGGAGTTTCACATAATAAGAATCTTAAATTTACCCATCATGAGAATTATTTAGAACATGTATAAATCCCATGGAAGTCAACAACTATTAGCACTTAACAAATATTTGCAATTAGGATTAGCAATGATTTCAAGGAGGATCTTGAAAATGGGGGCCAGATTGTGCATACAAACTACCTGAGAAGTTGGAGATGGCAGAACATCCCAAGAGAAGGTTGAATATGAAAAGACTATAGTGGTGTAACTTAAAAACCCCACGCCAGCCTACAAATAGGATAGTATATATATGCTGAATAGTGAGAGAAAGCCCAAGCAACTACATTAGCTTTGACCCTGATTTCATTAAGCCTAATAGTTGATCCCCAATCCTTAACTGACACTTTGCCGGTAGGGTGAGGGAAGGACATAATTTCAGAGAATAGGAAGAAAAGAGTCCAAATTATAGATAAAACATTGGAAAATCTTGTCAATGATACAATTCTTCCCTTTAAGAGTATTCATCAAGGAAGAAATTCATTTGCTTTCTCTCTCTCCCTCTCTTTTTAATACAGGACTCTCATTCATCTATTCCTTGAGAAGTTCCTGACCTTGAGTTGGCCAGGAAGTCTTACTACCAGCTGGGAGGAAGAGTGAAGTTACAAAAAGATAAGTCTGACTTCCAAGGTTACAAAATCTGACCCGGAAATATAAGTCATTAATGAAAAGAAATGGTTTATTATGCTACTGAATGAAAGTGATGTGTCTGCAAGACAGAGACATTTGTTTCTAGCTCTCAGGATGCTAATTTACTAGCAGTGTGAAATATAGTAGATCTTTGTGATAAGCCTGTGACCTCTGGAACCTATGAAGTCATTACAATGTCTTGCTTAATGTCGCCAGCAAGTGACACTGTCACCAATCTTAAACTTGTACTGTACTGCCTGGGACTGGACAAGAGCTATGGATTAAACAAATTTGAATACTCAAACTATATGCAGTTATTTTAAAACCAAAATTTCTTTGATTTTGAATGATTCAGAATGATTATTTGCATCAAATTATGTATAAGTCCCACTTTTTAACATATTGTCAATGAAATTTAAGTTAGTGAAATAATGTTCAGAGAGAAGTTTAACTGCACCTTCCAAAGTAGACATTAAATGACGTTTCTTTAATGTTAATTCCCTTAGAAGAAAGACAAGAAGTTTTCTGAGATAAATGTGGATAGTATACCATCTTCCCTAATAAATTTACACTCAAGCTATAAAAGCCTATCCAGTGACAGATCTTTTTTTACTCTCATATTAACCAATCGATGTAACTATTTGACTCTATTGAGCTGGGTACTTTTTGCAATTTTAAAACTGAGTGTGTATTAAACATTATTTTGTATTAGCAGTATTTACTTGTATTTCTCTGGAGACATCTAGTGGAGAAAGTATAGTATACAAGGTTTACAGAAGCACAGATATCTTCACATTTCGATTAAAATAATAATCAATGGGAAATTCATTCAAAACAGTAAATATTTTACACACATTTCAATGTAAATGAAAATAAATACTATCTCACAAAAAGTATCTTATGTTTGATTAATACTGGTTACAATGATGTCAAATCTGAAATGAAGTTTAAAAATTCTGGTCACATGCGTGTGACTAACAAATGAGTGGCTTCACTTTTTATCTGAGCTTTTTTTCTGCACTGACACAGGATAGCAACACGTGAATGAGGAATTATGATTGAATTTATTGGATTTTTAAACTTCAAATATATGATTGGAAATAGTCACTTCTCCACTCAGATTTCATTCATTGGTTCCTTCTCGCATTATACACTGGTTTTCACCTTTGGCACTTCTGATAGTACTGACGTTATGCCTTTCATCTTCTCTTTCATTTGGATACAGAAAACATTGTTTCAGAGACAATTAAAATCCTCATTATCATCCATCTCCTGCCCATAAATAACTTCTAATATTTCTTCTGATCAATGAAAGGGATGGGCAATAGCTGCAATTACATGAGCTCTCTAGCAGGCCATCTCTTACAGTACTCAAATTTCAATGTCCCATCTTGCACATTTCATCTTTTAAAAGAACAGCACAGGGCCGGCGCCGCAGCTCACTAGGCTAATCCTCCGCCTTGCGGCGCCGGCACACCGGGTTCTAGTCCCGGTTGGGGCACCGGATTCTGTCCCGGTTGCCCCTCTTCCAGGCCAGCTCTCTGCTGTGGCCAGGGAGTGCAGTGGAGGATGGCCCAAGTGCTTGGACCCTGCACCCCATGGGAGACCAGGAGAAGTACCTGGCTCCTGCCATCTGATCAGTGCAGTGCGCCGGCCGCGGCGGCCATTGGAGGGTGAACCAACGGCAAAGGAAGACCTTTCTCTCTCACTGTCCACTCTGCCTGTCAAAAAATTAAAAAAAAAAAAAAACAGCACGAATGATAGTATCCCCATTATAATTTGTAATCATCTATTTATCATTCTTCTCAGACTGTTTCCCTGTAATATGGCAATACTCTCACCTCTCAGGCTTAGACCTCTCATCTTTTTACTGATATCTTCTCATTACTGACTTGTCCACATCCAACCCTGCCCCGATTCTCTTCATCTGTTTCCAGGATCTTAATCCATATTCCAAATACATCTGAAAAGCTGTTTATACTTCTTCACAGGAAAACTACCAACCAAATGAATTATTTCTCATTTTTCAATAATATTTCTTCTCTCCTCAAAGACATTGGCTATATTTGGTTCTAAAATAAACTACTGCTCCACTTCTCCAGATACTGATTTTATACAATGATTTTCCAATTCTGGAGATTGAGTAGTGCTACCTTCAAGAATTTGCCTTCTTCCTTTTCTTGTATCACATGAGAGTTTCTGGATTTCTCATTCAAACTTCCACCCAAAAAAGTCTCCTCTTCTATAAATGTGTGCATCTGATAAAGGTTTTTATTTGCTATAATTATATGCATATCAAACTTAGGATACTGTGTTAGAATGGGGAGAATGTGGAAAAGATTTGCTCTTTTGGGTCCGGCTCTGTGGCACACTAGGTTAATCTTCCGCTTATAGCACCAGCATCCCATATAGGCACTGGTTCTAGTCCCAGCTGCTCCTCTTCCAATCCAGCTCTCTGCTGTGGCCTGGGAAAGCAGTAGAAGATGACCCAAGTCCTTGGGCCCCTGCACCCACGAGGGAGACCCAGAAGAGGCTCCTGGCTCCTGGCTTTGGATTGGCACAGCTCTGGCCTTTGTGTCCATCTGGGGAGTGAACCAACAGAAGGAAGACCTTTCTGTCTCTCCCTCTCACTGTCCATAACTCTACCTCTCAAATAAATAAATAAAATCTTTTTTTAAAAAAAGATTTGCCCTTTCAATGCTAATGAATTTGCAGCATTCTTTATATTTTCAATCTTATTCCCAGACACACTTGTAAAAAAATAAATGATGAGTTATAGGCACTGGGATTTGGATGTTAAAGTTTCCTACTGTATAATGAACAATAAAAAAGAAGTTGACTTTGTTAGAGAAATTTCATGGTAAAGGATAAAGGGAAAATTATTCAAGTGGGCACAGAGACTAATCCTATGGTTCTTATTTAGAAAAAAAAAATAAGGCCTATGCATCAAAGAAGGAGGTACCTTTCTCTGAAGGGAGGAGAGAACTTCCACTTTGACTATGACCTTGTTTAAATAAGATCGAAGTCAACGAACTCAAGAGGCTTCCATAGCTTTGGAAACTCATGACTAGAGCCTAAGGAGATTTCTGACGCCATAAACAAGAGTGTCAAATTGTTAAGTCAACAACAGAAGTCACTGTGCACTTACTACCCGTATGGGATCTCTGTCCTTAATGTGTTGTCCAATGTGAATTAATGCTATAACTAGTACTCAAACAGTATTTTATACTTTATGCTCTGTGTGGGTGCAAACTGATGAAATCTTTATTTAATATATACTAAATTGATCTTCTGTATATAAAGATAATTGAAAATGAATCTTGATGTGAATGGAATGGGAGAGGGAGCGGGAGATGGGAGGGGTGCGGGTGGGAGGGAAGTTATGGGGAGGGATGCCATTGTAATCCATAAACTGTAGTTTGAAAATTATATTTACTAAATAAAAGTTTAAAAAAAATAAGGCCTATGATAATTATGGCAGTTTTGACCTTAAATGAGAAAAGACTCTGATCCTTTGAGTCTTCATAGAAATGCATGCATACAATTGTAAATATTATATTGAGTTGTCATATTAATAAAAATGAACTCTTAAGAGGACAATTACTAGAAGAATAACATATTCATCATATTGACTTAATGTATATTAGTGATCTTTGAAATTCATATACACAGTAAAATGTGATAGGAAAACCAATATTGGGGTGAATGTTGTTAGTGATGTTAAAGTTAGAAAGTTAATTTAATATCCAAACAGTATAATCCAGAGATGTAGCCAATTAATGATTCCTCAGCATAACAGAGTATTTGGGGAGCCTCAATTTTGAAAAATATTAGATCAATTCTCAGTTGTCAATCTATTAGCATGTATGTTTATCATATACCTGGTTTATCTCCAGAGTTTTTCTTTCTTCCCACTCTTACAAGGTTAATGACCAGATGGTGGGGCAAGTCTTTGCTGTAGTGATTAAGATGCCTTTTGGGAAGCCTACATCCAGTATAGGAAAGATTGGCTTTGAATCTTGGCTCCATTCTGATTGCAGCTTCTTGCTGCTGTAATGAAGACCTGTATTAAGTTCCTAGCTCCTGGTTTCAGCCTGGCTCAACCCTGGCTGTTGAAGTCACTTGAGGAGAGAACCAGCAGTTGGGAGCTCTATATCTCTTTCATCTCTCATCTCTCTCATGACTAAATAAAATAAAATCTAAAAATTAATAAATAAGAATAGTCAAATGTTTTGTGGAATTGCTATGAAATATGCTACATACTATACATTTGATTGTTATTTTATTATTTTCTTTGCAGAAAATCCTCCTATTTGTGAAGTTTCATTGTTTCTGGATTGCCTTTCCCACTGCAATTTGGCAGCTTGAGTTAAATGCAGTGTTAAACACCTACCCCCTGAGACAGGGCTCTTTAAAAGAAAAAGGATTTTTTTTACATTGAAAGAGAACTTAGAAAATATTTTAAAATCAGGCTACAAAACTCTAAGTTGGATGGTTTCAGGATTTGAGAATCATGTTGCAGATTTACATGTCTGACCTCTAGTGGCTGAAACTAATTTTTGCAACTGTAAATTTTCAAAGAAGCTTCTTCAGAAAGTATAAACTGTTTGTCAACATCACAAAATGGTAGGTTTTTAAATTTAGTCTTTCAATTTTCTGATACTAGTGTGTATATGTATCTTTCAATATGTAATCTTGGATGTTTTCTGTATATCTTATTAATACTGGTTTCCATTTTGGGAGGTCATAGAAATACTTTGTGATTTTTTTTTTAAAAATTGTTATTTGTGTACTTTGTTTATTTGAGTGGGATAAAGAGGAGAAAGAGAGAGAGAGAGAGAGAGAGAGAGAGAGAAAGAGAGGGAGAGAAAAAGAAAGAGAGAAAAAAAAAACAGAGAGAGAAATGAATGAATCACCAATCTGCTGGTTTATTCCCCAAAAGCCAGGAACTGCTAGGGCTGGGTCATGCTAAACCTGGTGGGTGCCAGGAATTCAATCTAGGTCTTCTATGTGAGTACAAGGAATCCAAGTAACTAATCATTCACTTGTTACCTCCCAAGGTCATGTGAGCAGGAAGCTAAGGTTGGTATTGAAGTCTGGACTTGAACTCAGGCACTCTGATGTGGGTTGTGGTTTGTACAAATGAGGTTTTAACTGGTGTACCAAATGTTTGCCTCACTCTGTATGATTTTGTTACAGAAATCTGAGGTGGTAAGACTCCTTTTGTTCAAACAGACACCAGAGACAGTGGAGGATCGAAGTAGTTCATTATGGCAGCAGGCTCAGCTGGAATCATTTCCTGAGAATTGAGCGACAATCCTGAGTTTCTTACAATATTCATCAGCATCATACCTTAGCTGTTACAGCATTAGTGGGGTTAAATTGTAGCCTACGTGACTTAGGACCACACTTCCAAAGGTCAGTGGGCTTGGTATGTTTGTAAAAGAGATACCAGGGGGAGATTTATTATGACAGATTTATGACTGGAGTTTACAGAAGCAGAACAGGACTTCTTCCCTCCGTAGACAAGATAACAGTGGGCAGCTGCTTCACTAGTTAATTTTGAGCAGCCACTTTTCAAGTTCTGTGTTGGGAGGAGGGTCTGCTTCTCTTTGTCTCTGGTTGTGGCCGTATTTCCTGTACAATTTCAGGCCTCTAATACTAATTGTGACTATTTTATGGTCCAACACATGATCTCTCTGGAGCCAAGAATGTATATTCCACATTTGTTGGATAAACTATTTATAGATGTCAATAAAATTAAATTGATGGATATTGTTGCTTATATCTCAATATTCTTATCAGTTTTATGATTTATTAATTTTTAAAATCAACTCCTGAAACAAAAGTTTCAAGTCTGCACTTATAACTTTGTCTAGTTGCAGATGTGATTGTCCACTCAGGAATTTATTTGGATGTGGAGACAGATGACAAAATGCAATAGTTTAATCTTTATCATCATTTTTCCTTTTCTAGATGTTCACAAACTATGAAACATATTAATGAGGTCTAGGGTTACACTTCTATATAATATCAACTTCAGAATTTTCTTCTTCAAATCTGGATTTCATTTACATGTACACTACCTCCCAACTTATCTCTTCTTCATCATAGTTCATCACAGATCAATGATACTCATTCAGTAGTCTCATCTGCTTCTCCTCTTAGTAACATGAGATAGAATTCATTCTGGTTCGTGGGTTTAAATATATTTAAAGCAATTAAAGAGAATTAGGTATTCTCTTCTGTTCTTGACGCTTACCTTAGTTGCTCGTAATAAATCTGTTTCACCCCTATCCAGATGGAGGATAATTCTAATTGAGTAAATAGACACAAAAATGCTCAGAAGAGTTTTATCTGTGTCAACAATCATTTACTATGAATAGGTCTTTTTCTGTGAAAATAAGTGAGAAAACATTTTGCTCACAATTTTCCATAATTCTCAATTCACTATGGACTTTGATTTTTTCTGTAGTCTTTTTCTTTTTTAAGATTTTCTTATTTATTTGAGAGGTAGAGTTACAGATAATGATATATAGAGACAGAAATGTCTTCCATCCGCTGGTTCACTCCCAAATGGCCACAAGGGCTGGAGCTGAGCCGATCTGAAGCCAGGAGCCAGGTGCTTCCTCCCGGTCTCCCAAGTGGGTTCAGGGGCCCAAGAACTTAGGCCATCTTCTACTGCTTTCTCAGGCCATAGCAGAAAGCTGGATTGGAAGAAGACCAGCCGGGACTAGAACCAGCACCCATATGGGATCCTGGCAGAGGCTTAACCTTCTGCACCACAGCACCGGCCCCCTCTATAGTTTTTTAAAATATTACTGTAAACATTTATCGGGGTTGTGGGGGGTTCCCATCTTCCTCTTTAGTGCTCAAATGTCCACAATGGCTGATGCTGAACTAGGTTGAGGCCAGGGTCCAGGGACTCAGCCCAGGTCTCCCATATGAGTGGTAGGAATCTAACTATGCAAGTCACATGCTGTCTCTGAGATTGTACATTAGCAGAAGGTTAGAACTGGAAATGGAGAGAGGACTCAAACTCAGGTCTTATCTACTAGACCAATTGCTAGAGATCCTCTTTGTGCTGGTTGATTTCCCAAATGTCCACAATGGCAATGGCTGGGTCAGACCAAATTAAGGGGCCTAGAACTCCACCATGAATGACAGGGACCCAAATACTTCCCCAGATTCATTAGCAGGGAACTAGATTGGAAGCAGAGGAGCAAGGTCTCAAATCGGTGTTCTAATTTGGAATATTGATGTTCTAAGAGGAGGCTTACCCCACTGTACTACGTGGCCAGTTGCTTCATACTCTTTTTCCTAATAATGTGTATTCCCCTAATCAAGGGTTTTCTAGGTAACTATTATTTTTTGTTTGTTTCTTTTCTTTTTGCCTTATTGGACTATCACATAATTTATGACATAAGTTATAATTTGAAAATTCGTATCTGGAGTTAAGTTCCTTTCCAGAGTTAAGAGCTACTGTTGATTTCTATTCTGAACTTTAGTAAATATAAACCCTAATATTTTGTAATTTTGTCTGACTGTCCATATTTGCCTTTACAGAGATGACCAAATCTAACATGAAGCACTTTCCGAGGACTCAATCTGTCAAATCATTTTTTTTAAAGTTTCATTAAATAAAAATCCTAAAAGTTGAGTTATCTTCTTTAGATTCAATGTTAGGCTTTCATAAGTGTGGGAAGTTTATGCTTCACGGGGAAGAAAATATTTCCACCATCCTCCAGATGATTTGGCTCCGAGTGCTGCTATATGAAGTGTCTACAACAGTGCTTGTGAATCCCAGTTGCTCATCAGAATGATCTGAAGAACTTCTCTAAAGTCAAATAGCCAGGCTATAACCCAAGAAAAAGAACAGCAGGCAGGGCTAAAAATTCAGGTAATTCTGACAAAAAGCATACTTGTTAGATTTTTTTTTCACTTGTACAAATGCTTTCAATTACTAATTAATTTAGCATGTTAAATGAGATAAGCAAGACACAGAAAGACAAATACTATGTGTGCTCCTCCTCTTGTGGGAACTAAAAAACTTTAATCTGAACATAGAATAGTGATCATTCAGATACCAGGAAGGTTTGGGTTGGTGATAAAGTGAGACTGGAAAATGGGTACCAAACCACAGTTAGAAGTAATGTTGGAGTCTTAGTGTTACTCAGCACAGTGGGGTGACTATGGTTAACAACAATTGATTATATATTTTCTGAGCAAATAGAAGAGAGGAACTCCAAGGACATAATCACAAAGTAATGGCAAAGAGACAGAAATGTTAGTTACCCTGACTTAATCAGCACAGATATGTATACATAGTATACATGGATTGAAATATCACACTGCCCCTCCTTTGCACATACAATTATTACTAATAACATTTTTAAGTGTGGTGGATAAAAATATTTGAAAATAACTCTTTTTATAACACCTTCTATGCTTTTTAAAATATTTATTTATTATTTATTTGAAAGGTAAAGCCACATAGGCAAAGAGAGAGAGAGAGCGAGCAAGAGTGCTTCCATCCACTAGTTCACTGGGTCGATCCGAAGCCAGGAGCCTGGAGTTTATTTCAGGTCTCCTACACAAGTGCCAGGGCCCAAAGACTTGAGCCATCTTCCACTGCTTTTCCAGGCCACAGAAAAGAATTGAATTAGAAGTAAATAGTTGGGACTTGAACTGGTGGCCCTACCAGCTATGCCACAGCACTGGCCCCTTGATGCTTTTTTTTTTTTTAAAGATTAATTGATTTTATTTGAAATCCACAGTTACAGAGAAACAGGGAGAAACAGAGAGAAGGGGGAAAATCTTCCATATGCTGGTTCAATCCCTAAATTCTCAATGGCAGGGACTGAGCCAGACTGAAGCCAGATGCCAGGAAATTCATCCCAGTCTCCAACATGGGTGCAGGGCCCAAGGACTTGAACCATCTTCCACTGCTTTCTGAGGTACATCAGCAGGAACTGGATCAGAAGTGGAGCAGCTGGGAATCAGATTTGTAACAATATGGGATATGCATCGTAAGTGGAAGCCTTATCCACTGTGCTACATGCTTGCCCTGAAAATAACTCTTAAATAGATAAAATATTTACAAAGAAAGATGAGCATTGTGTTTTCAAAATTTGTTAAATTTGTTTAAAATGTTTAGATTATCCTTTTTAAATTTTTTTTTATTTTACTTGAAAGGCAGAGTCATATATATAGAGAGAGATCTTTCATCTGCTAGTTCACTCCTCAGATAGCCACAATGGCCAGAGTTGGGCCTGGCTGAACCCAGGAGATGGGAGGCTTCATTAGGGTCTCCCACGTGGGTCCAGGGCTCCAAAGCTTTGGGCTTCTCCACTGCTTTTTTCAAGCCATTAGAAGGGAGCTGGATCAGAGATGGAGCAACCATGGCTTGAATTGGTGCCCACATAGGATGCTAGTACCATAGACAGTGGCTATACCTGTTATGCCACAATGCCAGCCCCAAATTAAATTGTTCTTAGGATCTCTTTTGATTTACAAAATGTTACATCAGTTCAAAGAGTGGAAAGCTATGGAAATGAAGTTAGTGGTGCTTGGGATTCGCCTAACAAATGGTAGTGACCCCGAACACAAAAAGAGTGGAAGATTGGATAGACAAATAGAAATCCTACTATCCTACTAATAGAGATCACAGATACATAATTTCCTTCCCTTACAAATTCTTCACCCTTCTAGTACCCTACAACTTTTTTCATATCCAAAATTCTAATGTATAGAAGTCATTTTTTCAACTTTATTTAATAAATATCAATTTCCAAAGTACAACTTTTGGGTTATAGCAGTTTTCCTCCCCATAACCTCCCTCCCATTTGCAACCATCCCATCTCCCACTCCCTCTCCCATCCATTCTTCATCAAGATTCATTTTCAATTATCTTTAAATACAGAAGATCAACTTAGTATATACTAAGTAAAGATTTCAACAGTTTGCACCCACACATAAACACAAAGTATAAAGTAGTGTTTGAGTAGTAGTTTTACTGTTAATATGCATAGTACAATACATTAAGGACAGAGACACTACATGGGGAGTAGGTACACAGAGATTGCCGTTGTTGATTTAACAATTGATATTCTTATTTATGACATCAGAAATCACCCGAGGCTCTTGTCTTGAGCTGCCAAGGTAGTGGAAGCCTCTTGACTTCACCAACTCCGATCGTATTTAGACAGGGCCATAGTCAAAGTGGAAGTTCTCTCCTCCCTTCAGAGAAAGGTACCTCCTTCTTTGATGGCCCATTCTTTCCACTGGGATCTCATTCACAGAGATCTTTCATTTAGGTGTTTTTTTTGTTTGTTATTTTTTTTATTTTTTTATTTTATTTTTTTTGCCACATTGTCTTAGCTTTCCATGCCTGCGAAACTCTCATGGCCTTTTTAGCCAGATCCAAATGCCTTAAGGGCTGATTCTGAGGCCAGAGTGCTGTTTAGGGCATTTGCCATTCTATGAGTCTGCTGTGTTTCCTGCTTCCCATGTAGGATCATTCTCTCCTTTTTTAATTCAATGAAATATTATTTGCAGACACTGGTCTTATTTATGTAATCCCTTTGATACTTAATCCTAACTTTTTGGTCAATTATGAACTTAAACTGACCACTTTAACAAGCAAGATGGCATTGGTATGTGCCACCTTGATGGGATTGAATTAGAATCCCCTGGCGTGTTTCTAGCTCTACCATTAGGGGTAAGGCCAAGTGAGCCTACGAGATTGGATTCAAGAACTCAGTCCAGGTCTTCTATGTCAGTGGCAGGAATTCAATTACCTAAGACATCACCAGGATAGGAAGCTGGAATCAAGAGCTGAGGTGGGACTCAAATCCAGTTACTCTGAAATGGGATATAGGCTTCTTAATTAGGCCAAATGCCCCTTAGCAACTGTTTATTTTTAATGTTAGAATGAGCTTATGAGGCCGGCGCCGCCATAGCTCAATAGGCTAATGCTCGGCCTGCGGCGCCGGCACTCCAGGTTCTAGTCTCGGTCGGGGTGCCGGATTCTGTCCCGGTTGCTCATCTTCCAGTCCAGCTCTCTGTTATGGCCCGGGAGGGCAGTGGAGGATGGCCCAAGTTCTTGGGCGCCCTGTACCCGCATGGGAGACCAGGAGAAGCACCTGGCTCCTGGCTTCAGATCAGCGCGGTGCGCTGGCCACAGCAGCCATTGGGGGGTGAACCAACGGAAAAGGAAGACCTTTCTCTCTGTCTCTCTCACTGTCCATTCTGCCTGTCAAAAAAAAAAAAAAAAAAAAAAAAAAAAAAAAAAAAGAATGCGTTTATGATATTTTAATTTGGAATTAGGTTCTTCTAGGAAAGTTTGGGAAAGTTCCAAAGAAACTTGTTGTGGGCAATCTCGTGAGGCTACCTGCCTAGCCCATGCAGTTAGCCTGACTGCTGGCAGGTGGTGGGAACCCTTAGGCACATTTCTCCCCACCCTAACCTTCTGCCAATTAGGTAAACTGTTCCCGAGTGTGGCCTAGGCTCACCTGGAAAGCAACCCTAGCTCTGTGATCTTCAAGCTGATTGGAGAGCCATATTGGTGCCAGTGTCAGTTCTGTCCTGTAGTTAGTGTTCCCCTGAGTTAATTATGCCCCTTCTGCCTGCCCTTTAAAGTGTACGTGGCTGTGAATAAAGACAGACATGTTCACCAAAGCCTGTCCCCAGTGCTTCTTGTGTGAGGAACACCATAGCCCTGCACTCTCTGACAGTGGGGCTTTGCAGGACAAGCCGCAACTTGTGAGACTGAAAACATCTCTATACCTTAGCAAAGATCATATTCTTTTCATTTCTCTTGTTTCATTCTTCTTTGGAATCTTTTTATTGAATCATTTATTCACAGACATTTATACATTACTGTTAAAGGGTGAAGGGTGTTTTGAATATAACAGTAAAACTATATAGAATAAACAAATTAAAATTTAAAGATTTGAGTCTAAGAGAAATACAGTACTGTGTATTTTAAACAGGCCATAACGTTGTTCAAGTCAACTGGCCCGGGATGACCTTGATTTTCCAGTTGTCAGATGTGAGGTCATCGGGAAAATAGCCTAATATACATATCTGTCAATTTCCTAGCTGAATAACCATCTAATAATATCTGTCCTTTTAACCCCTCAGAAATGTTTTAAGAGATATTTTTGAAGTAGGAGAGAGGTTTTAAGAAAAGTCCCAAATGGAGTAAATTCTTTGTCTTTTAGAATTTGATAGAAGTGAGCATCCCTCTCAAAATTATCCAGTGCATATATAGGTCCATTGAGACTCTCAAAAATTGGTAGCCAATTCCTATTCTTCAGCCTTAACAGGCACAATGATTGACCCCAAGCAACTGTTGTGCAAAGAAATCACCAAAAATGATAGTGAGAAAACTCAGAATTATCTTTTTTTGTTGGAGACAAAATGGGCTGTGCAAAGCTGCATTTTAAGTTCTAAAATACTTGAATAGAGATTTGTCAATAAAGGATTAAGACACTTCTGGGGCAGGAAGCCATGTCAGTGCACCTGCTCAAAGAATTCAAGAAACAAACCCTGGGGAGGCACTGAAAGAGAAACAATTACAGAGAAGAAAGGAAAAGCTGAGTGAAGAAAAGACAAAGTAATTGCTAAGTGATTTTACCAGCAGGTCA